CAAAAGCATTGGCAGCAAAAGCCAAAATAGACAAATGGGACCTAATCAAACTCCACAGCTTCTGCATGGCAAAAGAAACAGTCATTAGAGTGAATCAGCAACCAACAGAATGGGAAAACATTTTTGCAGTTTACCCATCTGACAAAGGGCTGATATCCAGAATTTACAAAGAACTCAAACAGATTTACAGGAAAAAAACAAACAAGCCCATTCAAAAATGGGCAAAGGACATGAACAGACACTTTACAAAAGAAGACATAGATGAGGCCAACAAACATAGGAAAAAATGCTCATCATCACTGGTCATTAAAGAAATGCAAATTAAAACTACATTGAGATACCATCTCACACCAGTTAGAATGGTGATCATTAAAAAATCTGGAGACAACAGATGCTGGAGAGGATGTGGAGAAATAGGAACACTTTTACACTGTTGGTGGGAGTGTAAATTAGTTCAACCATTGTGGAAGATAGTGTGGCGATTCCTTAAGGACCTAGAAATAGAAATTCCATTTGACCCAGCAATCTCATTACTGGGTATATATCCAAAAGACTATAAATCATTCTACTATAAGGACACATGCACATGAATGTTCATTGCAGCACTGTTTACAATAGCAAAGACCTGGAACCAACCCAAATGCCCATTGATGATAGACTGGACTGGGAAAATGTGGCACATATAAACCATGGAATATTATGCAGTGATCAAAAACGATGAGTTCGTTTCCTTTGTAGGGACATGGATGAATCTGGAGAACATCATTCTCAGCAAACTGACACAAGAACAGAAAATGAAATACCGCATGTTCTCACTCATAGGCAGGTGATGAACAATGAGAAAACATGGACACAGGGAGGGGAGCACTACACACTGGGGTCTATTGGGGGGAATAGGGGAGGGACAGTGTGGGGGGAGCTGGGAGGGATAGCATGGGGAGAAATGCCAGATATGGGTGTAGGGGAGTAAGGCAGCAAATCACACTGCCATGTGGGTACCTATGCAACTTACATGTTCTGCACATGTACCCCAAAATCTAAAATGCAATTAAAAAAAAAGAAAGAAACTCAGAACCGCAGAACTTTATGGAAACTGAACAACTGGCTCTTGAATGTTACAGGATAAACAATGAAATGAAGGCAGAAATAAAGATGTTCTTTGAAACCAACGAGAACAAAGACATAGCGTACCAGAATCTCTGGAATGCATTTAAAGCCGTGTCTACAGGAAAATTCATACCAATAAATGCCCACATGAAAAGCAAGGAGAGATCAAAAAGTGACATCCTACATCAAAATTGAGAGCTAGAGGAGTAAGATAAAGAAAAAACTCAAAATCTAGCAGAAGACAAGAAATAACTAAGATCAAAGCATAACTGAAAGAGATAAGAGACACAAAAAAACTCTTCAAAAAATCAATAAATCCAGGAGCTGGTTTGTTGAAAAAATCAACAAAATAGACCACTAGCCAGATTAATAAAAAAGAAAGGGAAGAAGAGTCAAATAGATGCAATAAAAACTGATAATGGATTGGGAGGGCAAGGCGGGTACATCATGAGGTCAAGAGATCAAGACCATCCTGGTCAACATGGTGAAACCCCGTCTTTACTAAAAATACAAAAAATTAGCTGGGCATGGTGGCACGTGCCTGTAATCCCAGCTACTCGGGAGGCTGAGGCATGAGAATTGCCTGAACCCAGGAGGTGGAGGTTGTGGTGAGCTGAGATCGCACCATTGCACTCCAGCCTGGGTAACAAGAACGAAACTCTGTCTCAAAAAAAAAAAAAAACCAAAAAACTGATAATGGAGATATCACCATGTATTCCACAGAAATGCAAACTATCATCAGAGATTACTACAAACAACTCTATGCACATAATCCAGTAAACCTGGAAGAAATGTATAAATTCCTGGACCCTTGCATCCTCCCAAGCCTAAACCAGGAAGAACTCAAAACACTGAATAGACCAATAACAAGAGCTAAAGTTGAGGCAGCAATTAATAGCCTACCACCCAAAAAAAGCCCAGGTCCAGATGGGTTCACAGCCAAATTCTACCAGACGTACAAAGAGAAGCTGGTACCACTCCTTCTGAAACTATTCCAAACAGTCCAAAAAGATGGAATCCTCCCCAAATCATTTTATGAGACCAACATCATCCTGATACCAAATCCTGGCAGAGACTCAACAAAAAAACAAAACTTCAGGCCAGTATCCGTGATGAACATAGAGCAAAAATCTTCAATAAAATATTGGCAAACCGATTGCAACAGCACATCAGAAAAGCTCATCCATCACAATCAAGTAGGGGGGTTTCTCATATGCAAGTCTATAAATATAATCCACCACATAAACAGAACCAAAGACAAAAACCACATGATTATCTCAATAGATGCACAGAAGGCCTTTGACAAAATTCAACAACTCTTTAGGCTAATAACTCTGAATAAACTAGGTATCGAAGGAACGTGTCTGAAAACAATAAAAGCTATTTTCGACAAACCCACAGCCAATATCATACTGAATGGGCAAAAACTGGAAGCATTCCCTTTGAAATCTGGCACTAGACAAGGATGCCCTCTCCCACCATTCCTACTCAATATAGTATTGGAAGTTCTAGCCAGAGCAATCAGGCAAGAAAAAGAAATAAAGGGTATTCAATTAGGAAAAGAGGAAGTCAAATAGTCTCTATTTGCAGATGACATGATTGTATATTTAGAAGACCCCATTGTCTCACCCCTAAATCTCCTTAAACTGACAAGCAACTTCAGCAAAGTCTCAGGATACAAAATCAATGTGCAGAAATCACAAGCATTTGTATACACCAATAAAAGACTTAAAGACAGCCAAATCAAGAACGAACTACCATTCACAATTGATACAAAGAGAATGAAATACCTATGAATACAACTAACGAAGAATGTAAAGGACCTCTTCTAGGAGAATACGAACTACTGCTCAAGGAAATAAGAGAGGACACAAACAGATGGAAAAACATTCCATGCTCACGGTTAGGAAGAATCAATATTGTAAAATTGGCCATACTGCCCAAAGTAATTTATAGATTCAATGCTATCCCCATCAAGCTACCTATGACCCTCTTTAGAGAACTGGAAAAAGCCACCTCAAACTTCATATGGAACCAAAAGAGAACCCACAAAGCCAAGGCAATACTAAGCAAAAAGAACAAAGCTGGACGCATCACATTACCTGACTTCAAACTATACTACAAGGCTACAGTAATCAAAACAACATGGTACTGGTACCAAAACAGAGACATAGACCAATGGAACAGAACAGGGGCCTCAGAGGCAACACCACACATCTACAACCATCTTTGACAAATCTGACAGAAACAAGCAATGGGGAAAGGATTCCCTGTTTAATAAATGGTGTTGGGAAAACTGGCTAGCTATGAACAGAAAGCAGAAACTGGACCCCTTCCTGACACTGTACACTAAAATTAACTCCAGATGGATTAAAGACTTAATGGTAAGACCTCATACCATAACACCCTGGAAGAAAAACTAGGCAAAACCATTCAGGAAATAGGCATAGGCAAGGACTTCATGACTAAAACACCAAAAGCATTTGGCAACAAAAGCCAAAATAGACAAATGGGATCTAATTAAACTCCAGAACTTCTGTACAATAAATGAAACAATCATTAGGGTGAACCAGCAACGAACAGAATGGGAAAACATTTGTGCAATCTACTCATCTGACAAAGGGCTAATATCCAGAATCTACAAAGAACTCAAACAGATTTACAAGAAACAAACAAACAAACAAACAAACACATCCAAAAGTGGGCAAAGGACACGAACAGACACTTTTCAAAAGAAGACATATATGAAGCCAATAAACATGAAAAAATGCTCATCATCACAGGTCATTAGAGAAATGCAAATCAAACCCACATTGAGATACCGTCTCACACCAGTTAGAATGGCAGTCAGTAAAAAATCTGGAGACAACAGATGCTGGAGAGTATGTGGAGAAATAGGAACACTTTTACACTGTTGGTGGGAGTGTAAATTAGTTCAACCATTGTGGAAGACAGTGTGGCAATTCCTCAAGGACCTAGAAATAGAAATTCCATTTGACCAAGCAATCCTGTTACTGGGTATATATCCAAAGGATTATAAATTGTTCTATTATAAAGATGCATGCACATGTATGTTCATTGCAGCACTGTTTACAATAGCAAATACTTGGAACCAACCCAAATGCCAATTGATGATAGACTGGACAAGGAAAATGTGGTACATATGCACCATGGAATACTATGTAGCCATAAAAAATGATGAGTTAGTGTCCTTTGTAGGGACATGGATGAATCTGGAAACCATCATTCTCAGCAAACTGACACAAGAACAGAAAAATCAAACACTGCATGTTCTCACTCATATGTGGGTGTTGAACAATAAGAACACATGGACACAGGGAGGGGAGCATCACACACTGGGGTCTGTTGTGGGGGAATAGGGGAGGGACATTGGGGGGTAGGGAGGTTGGGGAGGGAGAACATGAGGAGAAATGCTAGATAGAGGTGATGGGAGGATGGAGGCAGCAATCCACTTTGCCGTGTATGTATCTATGCAACAATCCTGCATGTTTTGCACATGTACCCCAGAACCTAAAGTGCAATAAAACATACATATTAAAAAAACCCACAGGCTAAGCCCATATTTAGGGGATCAATGAAGCAAGATCACCAAAGTCCCTTGAAATAAGGATTCGGCTTTTGATACACACACACAAAAATGTGTATATGTAAAGATAATATATAAATGTATTTACAGAAAGGCAAAAATATATAAATAATAAAACAAAAATGAAGGTCAGATTAAGATATTTTCAGAAAATTAAAAACTGAGAGAATTTGTAATCAGCAGACGTGCACTGTAAAAATACGTATTAAGAAAAATTTTTTCAGGCTGAAGGGAGAATTATGCAAATATAAGTCTATATCTGTAGGTAGAAATGAAACACTGAAAAGGAAAAAAATGTATATAAATATAAAAGAAAATTCTAAAAATTTTCTTTATAAGACTATTGGCTATTTAAAACCTAGGTAAGAATATGTTCTCTGGTTTATGATATATTACAAGTAAAACATATGACAGATAGCACAAAAGGTGGAGGGGGTGGGTAAATGCCATTGTACTGTTGCAAGGTTCTAACATTGTTCATGGATTGGCATGATAATAATTTAAGGTGGACTGTAACAAATTAAAGAACAAATATTATACTAATCTCTATATAAGTAACTACTAAAAATAATATAAAGAAGCATAGATAAATTTCATCAGACCGAAGGGCATGTGTCCAAAACTAAATGTCCTGATTTGGGCCTAGAGTTAGAAAGTGTAACAGGAGAAATAGACAGCAATTCACCCCTCTGAAAACGTCTAATACATGTTTATGCATTTTTCTGTATCCAGCCCATACTTTTATGTTCACTCTTTCTTCCTATGCCTCTTTCTTTCCTTTTCTATTTCTCCTCTTTTATTCTCTTTACTCTCTCTCCCACTTCCCTTCTACAATGTATGCTTTCTAGGTATATTTTTAAAATTTATTTTATGTATTAAATAATGGCATATATTCCCTATCCTTTTTTTTCTCAGAGAGTCAAAATATCTTACATTTTCTTTCTAAAAAATAAAGTGGATTTTTTTATTGTGTGAGCCATCCTTAATGCTTCAAGTGAGTCATACTGATCTTTGCTATAGGATTACACATTACACTAATGGCTTCTTTCTGAGTGAACTTCAGACTGTATATATCTTTTTTGAATGGGAGCAAGTTTCAAGCTCTGTATTACAAAAAATAAATTTGTAAATTCCCCTAGCTTAACCTCTGAGTCCAGTGCTTTCTGAAATGTCTGAGTGAAAGTAAAAGGACTAGGAAACAGAATGCCTGGAAGTGGGAAAAATTATATTTCTCCAGGGGATGCATTTGAGATAGATTTAAAATGGCTGATTCATATATTTAGAAGTTCTAATTGCTTGTGCATTTTAAATAAGTTATCTGGCTATGCACCCATGCACATGCACACAGACACACACTTTGCAGGATCTTTCAAGGTAAACAGCCAAATATGTCTTATAACAAATTATTTCTTGTAAATCAGAACCATTATTACCAATATCAATTTGCAGTTTCCAAGGAGGGTTAACTTTGCTTGGCCACCACATTTGCCATAAACCCAAGGCTGTTCACACTAGTATACTCTGCAATCAGGAATGAGGAGATCTGACAATGAGGTGACCTGCTATTCAGGCAACACACAGGCTGCTGGATGTTCTTATCTTTCTGGCAAATTCACTGGGGAACATTTGACCATGGCCACTCCACAGCACAGCTGCTGTCACTCCAGCATCGCATGCGTGGAAGAATGCAAGTGCACAACTTGTTTGCCTGGAGACTTGCCCACAGTTTATTACCAGAGAGTCCAGTCTATTTTATCTTAGCCAAATTAAGGTTTAGGAAGTGTTCATTTTGTGGTGAGTTCAACTTTTCTGTCTTTGACCCTTATTACTCTCACAGAACCAAAGTAGAAAAAGCTTAGCTATTCATAAACATTGCATATAAATTAATCATAATTTGGGTCCTAAGGTTTTTTTTGCAATAGTAAAAGTCAAAGCAACGCCACTACATGGCTCATCTTTCTATAATAAACAGCTGCTTTCCTAAGAAAAGTTGCACTAACAAAATCTATCCTGTAATAATTTCTGTCATTTATTGACTGCTTATTCTGTGTTAGACACTGTGCTGAGGCCTCACAAGGTTAACTTTATTTCATAGCCCTAAAGATAAGCACCATTATGATTCTTATTTTACAAATGAAGAAACAGGTTGAGTGCTTAGGTCATTTTTACACTATTCTTGATGGTGCCTAGGTTCAAAGTCTAATTCAAACAAGTCTAATTCATAGTGGTTTTTCCTAATCACTGTGCTCAACCACTTCCCATTTAAAACAAATTAAAAAATGATTGAAAAGGAAAAAAAACAGTTTAGGAGTTGGAGAGTTTATTTTATGCAGTTTTATTACTTTTGCTGCTCATCGTTAGTGCAAAATGAAAATAAGTCATAGCACAGTTTAAACTACAAATGGTCAACAAAAGTAAACTCACACTGAGAAACCATCACCCTTACAAGTAGCAGTGTGTTTCTTTGCTTTGAAAAACAAATTTTTCTTATTTAAGTGATGACAATGATACAGTGGTTGTATCAGAATGCTAACGTTCTGCACAGTTAAAGTTGTATGCCTTAATTGGTCAATGCCACTATGTCTAGCTTGCATTCTGAAAATCAGCTGTTGGAGAAATACCCGTAAATCTAAGGTAGCTTTTTCAGCTAGAAATAGGCCAGGTTTATCTTTATTTTTTTAGACAAAGTCTCACCCTGTCATCCAGGCTGGAGTGTAGTGGCACCATCATAGCTCACTGCAGCTTTGAACTGCTGGGCTCTAGTGATCCTCCCACCTGAGCCTCCTGAGTAGCTGGGACTACAGGTGCAAGCCACTAGTTCCAGCTAATTAAAAAAACAAATTTTTCTTGTAGAGATGAGGTCTCACTATGTTGCCCAAGCTGGTCTTGAACTCCTGGCCTCATATGATCCACCCATATTCGGGCACCCAAAGTGCTAGGATTATAGGCACGAGCCTCTGTGCTCAGCTAGGTCAGATATTTTAAGAAGACCTGTGTTTATTTCTTACTACATCTGAATTTTTAAGTTTCGCATCATATGGAACAAACCACTGGCCTCATTCTATTGGCTTTTTTATTTATGTTAACTAAACATCTACAACCATCAGAGAACTGGGGGCCTTGTGTCCTGAGAAATAGCATAGCAGGAAATACATAGGAAATACATAGAAATACCATGTAGACTTCTCCTTACATCCCATACTCTCCCATAGTAGATAGATAGCTACTCAGTGTATTAGCAGATTTCTGCTGTAATAATTCTATGTAGCAACAACCCTCCTCCCAAACCTCAATAGCTAACAAAACAAAAAAAAATCAAATCAATGTTGATAGGGATGGATATAGGTTGTCTGTGAATTGGCTTTGCTCAGCTGGGCTAGGTTAGATGGCAATCTGTGATTTGGATTTATGCCTGCTTTATATGTCTTTATTCCAGGACTCTGAAAGAGTAATGGTTACCTGGAACATATGCCTTACACCCAAGGTCAAAAGTTTGAGATGTCTGACAGAAACTTGCTGTCTCTTAAAGTGTCTGCTCAGAAGTGGTGCATTTTCATTTTACGTCTGCCTATATTCATTGGCCAATACAAGTCACATAGCCTAGCCCGAGTAAGTAAGTGGGGGCAGGCATGTATATTCTGGTTACTATTGTGACAGGCACTAGAAAGTACGTGGCAGAGGGTGTGAGTGTATAATCCTTTATGGAAAGGAATAATGAGTTGAAAACTATAATTCAATATAATCACACTGAATATTTCCTGCAGTATGTTGCTCATACATTTTTTATAGGACCCATGATATTTTATTACAATTGTGCTTATATAAAGATGTAATTCTTCAGTAGACTGTGTGACTATGTTTTCACTCATTTCCAGCCCTAAGGACTAGGACACTGCTTCTCACTTTAGTAGATATTCAATAAATATCCAAAGAATGAAGGTAGGAATAAATATACTTAGAAGCCTGTTATTATGAACAAACACAAATTACTTAATTCTCAAAAGAAGATGATACCAAGGCAACCTCTACTGGGAAGTTCATAAATTACTGCTATAGAAAGTAGTTATCTACAAGAAAAGTCTTATTTTGAAATATTCCAACTTTGTATCATGTTATCCATTTGTTGGGTATATATTTTTGAGTGTCAACTATGTGCCAGGTACAAGGATGTGAGAGCGAGTAAGATAGACTCAATTACTGCCCTCACCAAGATACTGGGCAAAAGAGACAAACAATAAATTATCACATCCATTATTATGGAAGTGCAGGAGCACCTGACCAGTCCTGGGAGAACAGCAAAGGCTTTCTGGAAACCATGACTTCTAAGCTAAGATCAAAACAAAATAAATAGAAAGAGAAGGGGAAGCAAGAGGAACATTCCAAAAAAAAACAGAAAAGAAAACTGTATGTGAGTAAGAAAAAACAAGGGTAAAACACAGGTTCAGATTCAGGTAGCCGGTTGAATGGTGTTACGATTACATTTACTAAGAAGAAATACAGGAGAAAGAGAGTGTATGTGTTGGTTAGGGTGATGGGGTGGTGATGGGGATTTATTTATGAATATTGATGGCTTGGAGATACAAGTGGTACCTCCTGAAAAAGACACCCAGGTGGCAGTTGTATCTGAAAGTCTCAATTTCAGATGAGAGGTAGGAGTTGAGATATAAATTTGAGATTCATATGTGTGTGTGTGTGTGATTCACACATATATATATGTGATATAATAAAGAATATATCTGGTCTTTGTACCAGTTCCCGGCACAAAAATTTTAAAACCTTGAGTAACAACAATATCTTTGCTATGCTAATGGGATGACTCATGGTGGGTTCCTAGTTTAGGATGGGGGCTGGTCACCAGAAAGACCAATCACGTGATTAGAGGGTTAGAACTTTAGGCTGCCAGCCCAGCATCAAGTGAGAGAAATAAGGTTAGAGATTGAGCTCAACAACATGGCCAGTAATTTAATCAATCATGATTTAATCAGTCATCAACAATCTGATCAATCTGATGAAGCCCCAGTGAAAACTCTGGAAACCAAGGCTCAAAGGAGCTTCCTGGTTGGTGAACAACTGATGTGCTGGGAGACAAATACACCTGGATTCCTAGAGGAGAGGGCAGAGAAGCTCAGGATCCTTACCCCTCTCACAATCTTGTCGTATGTGCATCTTCTGTTTGGCTGTTCCTAGGCTGTATCCTTTATAATAAAACTGTAATGATAAGAATAGCACTTTCAGAGAGTTTGTGACTTGTTCTAGCAAATTACTGAACCAGAGGGAGTCATAGAAACCCCTGAATTTGTAGCTAGTCAGTCACGGCTGACTGAGACTGATGTTTAGTTTCTAAAGTGGGGGCAATCTTGTGAAGGATGTTGTTCTTAATTCGTGGGATCTGTGCTAACTCTGGGTAGTGTCAGAATTGAATTAAATTGCAAGACACCGGTTGTCATCAGAGAATTGTTGTTGGAACAATGAAGAAATTGAGGTTATTTGCTGTTGATGAGTTTGCCCATGGGAAGCATATGAAAAGACGATCTAGGGCAGAACCCCAAGAAATATGGGCATCTATGGAAATGTTTCCCAAAATGTCATTTCAATACCATTGGTGCTAAATTGAGTTTAGATTATATAGAAGTATGCTTTTATCTAACGGCTATGTATTTATTGTAAATGTGTTGAGCCATACCTTTCCTGTATAGCAAATTGTACTGCTTTTTTTTTCCATTAATAACAGTGACATGAAATTCCTTATAAGAAAATTAATTTGAGTATATAAAGTGACATGGTTTGCATATTTTTCCCATCAAGATTTCATGTTGAAATGTGATCCCCAATATTGGAGGTGGGTCTAAGAGGAAGGGTTTGGGTTATGGTAGTGGATCCCTCATGACTGGCTTTGTGCCTTTGAGGTAATGAGTGTGTCCTCATTCTGTTAGTTCATGAGAGTGATAGCCGTTTAAAGAAACTAGCATCTCCTCTTCTTTTTCTTGCTTCATCACATGACGTGTGACACACTTGTTCCACCTTCATTTTCTGCCATGAGTAAAATCTTCCTAAGGCCATATCAAAAGCTGAGTAGAAGCTACTGTTATGTTTGTACAGCCTATAGAACTATGAGCCAAATAAACCTATTATCTTGATAAATCATTCAGTCTCAGATATTCATTTACAGCAATGCAAAACAGACTAACACATAAAATTGGTACCAAAGAATGGGGCATTACTATAAAAGTACCTGAAAATGTGGAGGCAGCTTTAGAACTGGGTAATGGGCAGAGGTTGGAAGAGTTTGGAGGACTCAAAAGAAGACAGGAAGATAAGGGAACGTTTGGAGTTTCCTAGAGACTAGTTAAGTGGTTGTGACCAAAATGTTGATGGAAATATGGACATTAAAGGCTGGGCTGATGAGGTCTCAGATGGAAATGAGAAACTTACAGGGAACTTGAGCAAACATCACCACTGCTGTACTTTACCAAGGAACTCGGCTACATTGTGTTCATGCCCTAGGAATTTATGGAAGGTTGAACTTAAGACTGATGACCGTGGATATCTGACAGAATAAAGCAGAAAAGCATTCAAGAGCTGGCAGGCTGCTTCTAACAACCTAGGATCAGATATAGGAGTGAAGAAATGACTTAAAGTTAGAATTTATAATTAAAAGGGAAGCAGAGGATAACCACTTAAGAAATTTACTACCTGGCCATGTGGTAGAGAAGGAGAAAGCATTTCAGGAGAGAAGAGCTGTAGCACAACCACTGACTAGAGAGATTCATATGACAAAAAGGGAACCAGGTGCTAATATCCAAGATGATGGGGAAAAGACCCTGAAGCCATTTCAGAAATCACTGAAGCAGCTCCTCCCATTACAGACCCAGAGGCCTTGGAGGAAATAATGGTTTGGTGGGCTAGGCCCAAGACCCTGATCCCCTGTACAACCTCAGTACACTGATCCCAACATCCTGGCTACTCTGGCTCTGCCACAGCTCAAAAGACTCTAGGCATAGCTCAGGCCACTGCTCCAGAGGGCACAAATCATAAGCCTTGGAGGCTTCCATATGGTGTTAAGCCTGTAGGTACACAGAATGCAAGAGCAAAGGAGGCTTGGTGGCTTCCACCTAGATTTCAAAGGATGTATGGGAAGCCTGGGTGCCCAAGCCAAAGCCAGCGGTAGAGGCAGAGCCCATAGAGAGATACTCTACTAGGGCAGTGCCAAGGGAAAAGGTAGGATTGAAGTCTCTACACAGAGACTAACTGAGAGAGAGAGACATCAATCCTACACTGGGGGCTCCACCCTCGCAACCTCATCTAAACCTTCTTATCTCCCATAGTCCCCACCTTCACATTGAAGATTGGGCTTCAACATAGACATCTGGGTGGGATCGGGGAGACATAACATTCAGTCAATAGCACAGCCAACAGAATATGAGGAGTCTAAATGTGGGGTATGAAAGAAAGAATAAAGATGTCAAGGTGATGGCTTGAACAAATTAAGACTGGGATTGCTATCCCTGAATTGGGAAAGATGGTGGCTAGAGCAAGTGTGGGACAGGAGAGTTCAGTTTTGGATAAATTAAGTTTGAGAAGCATTTAGCATATCCAACTTGTAGTCTGATATGTGCTATTTTGGTGGGGAATCAGGAGCAAAGGCATGACTAGAGAGAGCTCAAGAGAGAAGTGAGAAGAGAAGCTGAGCATTGTAGATAATTCTTGCCAGGAGTCTTCTGTAAATGGAAGAGAGAAATGGTGGGAAGCCAAATTGGGGACAGGGGTCAAGAGAGGATTTCTTTTAAGTTGAGAGAAATAGTAGTTGAGTTGTGTGTTATCTGGAATTGTTGAATATTGAGAAAAACTGATAATGCAGGTAAAGGGAATCAGAATGTGCCACCTCAAGATAGGCCACTTTTGCACAAAGATTATTTTGAGCTGAAGGCAACTGAGAATCAACAGATGCAGGGAAGTTTTCTGCCCTCCCCTTATCAGCCTAAAAACAGGGAATACATTTCCCATTGGGGAAGGTGCCCCTTCATGCCAGGATGACAAGGGCATACTTATCACTGGAGTTTCAGAGTCAACACCAAAACAAATGTGTATAACTAGACCTTACTAAAACAATCTTTATTTTCCATTAATTTCCCCATATATTTCTTAGTCATGTTTCTATAATTTATCATCCTTTGAAACCCAAGTCTCCTTACTTTTGATAAAATGGTATATAAGCCCCTGAATGTAACTGCTTTTTTGAGTTTTGCTTCTTTTCTGTAAACTCCTGGGCATGTAAATATTAAATAAAAATTGTACCTTTCCTTCTGTTAATCCCTCCCTTATTAGTTTAATTCACTGGGCCCAGATACTGAATCTAAGAGAGTATAAGAAAAAGTTTTTTCTCCCTGACATAGGAGAAAGAACAGAGATGAGAAAAAGAAAAAGGTTGCAAAAAGAGACAGACTTAGGAGGACCAAATGCCAGAAGAATAGGATGCCATGGAGACCAGAAGAGAATTTCTAGAAGATTCAAGGAGTTAAATGCTTCTCAGAGGTCAAGTGAGATCAAAGGTGAAGACATATCCACTGGACCTGGGAACAAATATGTCTTTAGTAACCTCATAGAGAGGAATTTCCATACAATAATGGAAATAGGCAAATAATTGCTGTGTTGGTCCCTGAATGGGAGGTAAGGAAGTGATAACAGAGTATGGATACTTCAAGAAGCTTGGCTGTAAATGGCAGGAAATAGAATTCCACTACTGAGGGGCTGACATCAAGTCAGTGGTGTTATTGTCTGGTGTTTAATATGGGAAGGGACTTAGCATCTTTAATATTTGATATGGTTTGAGTCTGTGTCCCCACCCAAATCTCATCTTGTAGCTCCCATAATTCCCATGTATTCTGAGAGGGACTGAAAGGAAGATCATTGAATGATGGAAGCAGGTCTTTCTTGTGCTGTTCTCATGATAGTGAATGGGTCTCATGAGATCTGATGGTTTTACAAATGGGTTTCCCTGCACAAGCTCTCTCTTTGCCTGCTGCCATCCATGTAAGATGTGACTTGCACCTCCTTGCCTGCTACCATGATTGTGAGGCCTCCCCAGCCATGTGGAACTATAAGTCCAATAAATCTCCTTTTGTAAATTGCTCTTTCTTTTGTAAATTTGTAAACCAGTCTCGGGTATGTCTTTATCAGCAGTGTGAAGACAAGCTAATACAATATTGATGGAAGATACCAACCAGGACACAGAGGTCAGGAATATACAAGATAAGTGATATTTACTAGAAGTCAACTGATCCAAGACAAGGGAGAAAGGGAGGTGTTTAGAACACAAGTGGGAAGATGTGTCCTACATAAGGAGAGTGTGGCCTCCATTGGAATAGATGTGAAAAGCCTAGTGCAAAGTCAGTACTGCCAGCTATCCCAGGGAGAAGATCACCTTCATGTTTCCAAACCTACTTTGTAGGCTCAACTACCCCTCAGGCAGCTACCCAACAGCTACCCAAGGGCCTCCCACCTTCACTGACCTCATTTCAACTACTTCCACTCTCTCTTTATTCTCTTGTCCTATTTGAGGCCTGACATTCTTCAGTCTAGTCCCCCTAATTAGCAAAACAGCTTTACTCATTTGCATTACTTAAGCAGCATTTTCCTAGAAAGTACTGAAGGTATTATGCTAATCACAAGGACAGTCTTTAGATACAGGAACTGAGGTAAAAGCACTATAAACTAATTCAACCTCATCTAGTTTGCAGCTCTATTGCTTATATACTGCTTTCCAAAGTAAACAAAACAAAACCTACACAGAATGTTATTGCCAGAGAGAGTTCGGGAATCCCCTTGTACAGGCTGTATCATTCATCCTCACCAACCTCAAGTTCTTTTAGCTCAGAGGAGCAAAGTATTCTAAAACCACACAGCTTCTTGATAACAATTATCAAGAACTTCCTTCCACTTACCCTCCAAACTTTTAAAACTTCTCCATCAGTTTTACTAGGGCACTAGAGTGTATTGAGAAGAAGACTGAAGTCCCAGGCCAAAAAGCTGGAATTTTTCTTTTTTTGTTGTTAAAACAGAGCCTCACTCTGCCACCCAGACTGGAGTGCAGTGGTGGAATCTCAACTAACTGCAACCTCCACCTCCTGGGTTCAAGGGATCCTCCTGCCTCACCCTCCTGAGTAAATGAGACTACAGGAGCATGCCACCACTCCTGGCTAATTTTTGTATTTTTTGTAGAGACAGGGTTTTGCTATGTTGGCCAGGCTGGTCTCAAACTCCTGACCTCAGGTGATCCACCCACCTCAGCCTCCCAAAGTGATAGCATTATAGGCATGAGCCACCATGCTTGGCCAAAAAGCTTGAATTTTTTTTTTATTTTAAAAATTGTACCTGTATTTTAAGCATCATACAAATTTTGTACCATTCCCTATATTTCTGTGTTTTGTGCTGCTTTTAATACACTCCCCCTTATTTTGTGTACAATTGAAACTCCTGGAGAAAGAATCATGTTTAAGTTTCTTCTAATCCACTATTTCAATTTTAAAAAGCCAGCACTAGATGGTGTCATTCTTGATAATACCAGCCCATTTTGCACATTTATTTCTAATAATTAGTACTGAATAGAACTTGGGTCTGCTTGCCTGGTGCACTGAAAAAGCCAAACAATGACACCAGGATTTGCTGCAAGAGAAAGTGGGGCATTTATTGCAGGGCGTCAAGCAGGAAGAATCAGGCAGCTGATGATTATGACACAAACTCCCCAGTTACTTACAGGGAATTGTTTTTAAAGGTAGGGCTATATTTCAAGAAAGGAGAAGTTACAGGGAAATTGTAACTTGATACCCCTTGGTTATACGTTGGTTTGGTTTAAAAAAGGGGAGTATCTTTGTAACCACCTAAAGGGTTCACCTTACCCACTGCCTTGACAGAGCCAATTTATCAAGACAGGAGAATTGCAATAGAGAAAGAGTAATTCATGTAGAGCTGGCTGTACAGGACACTACATTTTTATGATTACTTAAATCAGTCTCCTGAACATTTGTGGATGGGGTGCAGCCAGTGAGTCAGGAATGCTGACTGGTTGGGTTGAGATGAAATCATAGGGAATCGAAGCTGCACTGAGTCAGTTCCAGGCGGGGGTGGGGTACAGAGGGTAGCACAAGATCAGATAAACTAGTTTATTAATCTGGGTGGTACCAGCTGATCCACTGAGCAAAAAATCTGCAAAATGTCTCAAACACTGATCTTAGCCTTATCATAGTGATGTTATCCCCAGGAGCAATTTGGGAAGGGTCAGAATCTTGTAGCCTTCAGCTGCATGACTGCTAAACCATAATTTCTAATCTTTTGGCTACTTTGTTAGTCCTACAAAGGCAGTCTACTCCCCAAGCAAGAAGGGGGTTTGTTTTTGGAAAGGGCTGTTATTGTCTTTGTTCTAAACTATAAACTGTAAACTAAATTCCTCCCAAAGTTAGTTCAGCCTGTCCCCAGCAATAAAAAAGGACACCTTGTAGGTTAGAAGCAAAATGGAGTTGGTTAAGTCAGATCTCTTTCACTGTCTCAGTTATAGTTTTGCCGTGGTAGTTTCATCTTGATGTGAGAGCTTACAGGTCATAGGTAGACTTTTTTGATTTGCAATTGGTTAAGGAAGCAAAGCTTTGTCCAAAAACTTGGGGTCAGCAGAAAGGAATGTTAAGGTTTGGCCTATGGGTGTGACTCTCTCCTGGCTCCTTAGGGGGAAAAAAAAGATAGAACAGAGAATGGTAGTTGGAGTTAAGTACTTAGTTCACAATTTTCTGAAGTCTACATGATAGAAGTCAACATTTTACATCTGGTGGAGGGGTCGAGATTTCTGAAAACAACTCAAGAACATATGGTAAGATGTTAGCTTTTGTTTCTCCAGGAAAGCAGACATCATGTGACTCTAACTTATTTGAGTGACTATTGTTTAAGCTTCTTGCTTAGTGGGTTACTCACTCACTTCCTTAATTGCTGGTGGCAGAGCAAGCTAGGTACATAGACTTTCCCTTGAAAGGACTCAAATCTTTCTTTATTTTCATGCTTTGATTGGGGTGGAGAAACCCAGCAGGCCCCTATAAGGAGCCCTGATTCATCTCATGATCAGTAAAACAAGTCTTTTATTACTGCTGTTTCTATATGTAATTCTTAACTCCCTATTCAATTATAAAATCCTATATGCAGATGTACTGGATACAGTGTTTAGTCTTCCTAAGACTCTCCCCCTTCTTTACTTTTCTTTTTCTGAGATAGTCTTCTGCACCTTCAACCCATTCCACTTCCACAGTTACGGTGGAAGCTGTTCTCTTAGTACAAGAGGGACCACCTCAGGTCACAGCTGATTGACCTGAGTATCTCCTCCGCTTCCATCCCCCCCATAGTTGATTGGTTCAGGAATAGGCACCTGATTTAGGTGAGACCAGTCAGAGAATTTCCATAGGCTTGGAGGACCCAGAATGAGGAAGTCGTTTTCTCTCCCATGGCCAAAATAGAAATGATACATCAGGAAACGTTGGTGGACATTTTTCTACCATATGGAGACTGAACCCAACAAACAGTAAAAAGCAGATGTGAGATCTAAACAGAGAAGAATACTGATCTTGTTGGAGTTCTACTTCTAGTTGTCCCAAGGCCCAGCGGTGGCCCTGCCTTTCCCTTGACTTGATAATGTATTCCGGAGTTAACAAATTCTTCCTTTGCTTAAGCAACTCTGACAAGGGTGTCTGTTACTTGCTCCAGAAGGAATAAAATGTAGTAGTTCTTCAGAAAGCCTGTGGTGCTGAACAAAGATCAGGGGATTAATAAGTCCTTGTTGATTGCCTGCTTGCCACTTATTGGCTTGAGTCTTGCTGAGAGATACCATCCTGAGAAAATATTGACTGCCATAGACTCCAACCAAGAGATGTAACACAAGGCAATTCACACTTGCAGTACTTGTAAAATTCAAGACCACTGACCAGCAGGGAGAAAGTGAAAACAAATGAAGAAGCCTCTGCTGGGAGGGCAGACAGAGTGATGGCTTCATCCCAGAATAACGCACTGGCAAGGGGAAAGGAGCAGGGAAATCATCTGGGCTGAGTATCAGAAGACCTAAATCTTCATCTTGGATCTACTGCTCACTAGGTGTAGGACTTTGGAACAACCATGGAACTTTTCTGGGTTGTGTTTTCACATCTATGAATGAGGAAGTTAGAGGAGAAAATTACCAATAAGCTTTTGCGATAGAAAAGCTGAGGGGGCCAGATGCAGTGGCTCACATGTGTAATCTCAGCACTTTGGGAGGCTGAGGCAGGAGGATCACCTGAAGTCAGGAGTTTGCCACCAGCCTGGTCAATATGACAAAATCCTGTCTCTACTAACAATACAAAAATTAGCAAGGTGTGGTGGCAGGTGCCTGTAATCTCAGCTATTCAGGAGGCTGAGGCTGGAGAATTGCTTGAACCCAGATCGTACCATTGCACTCCAGCCTGGGTGACAAAGCAAGACTCCATCTCAAAAAAAGAGAAAAAGAAAAAGAAGAAAAGCTGAGGATTCCCCTCCTTCCATTGTCTGAATGTTGTGTCCCCCTAAAATTCATACAGTAAAATCTAATCATCAAGCTGATAATACTAGAAGGCAGGGCCTTTGGGAAGTAATTAGGTCACGAGGGCTCTGTACTCATGAATGAGATTAGTGCCTCATTGAAGAGCCACAGAGAGCTGCTTTGCCCTTCCATCATGTGAGGACACTTAGAAGGGGCCACCAATGAGGAATAGGGCCTTCCCAAGCACTGAATGTGCTGGTGTTTTGATCTTGGACTTCCCCGCCTCCAGAACTGTAAGCAATACATTTCTGTTGTTTATAAATTACCCAGTCTAAAGTATTTTGTTTAAAACACAAATGGACTAAGACATTTCCCCTTTACTCATGGGGCTTTCTAGCACTTCTGCCCTCATATTAAGGAAGTTGTGGGATCTCTTCACAGTCTCTCCATGGTATGCCAAGTCCCGCCACAGACACAGATCTACCATCTGGAAAGGGTAGAGAAGGTCACTGGGAAGGTCCTTCCTTAAATGGAATCTTGGACATCACCAGTCTGGACCTGAGACTGTAGGAGAATCTAGGCTTCCAAATCAAGGTAGCAGAGTGACATGCCTGCAGGCACAGGACACTGTGCCAGGTAGAAACAGGAGCCAAATGGAAAGCAAATGTCTGCTCCTGTTTGGTGTGTGATAATGAGGGCCTAGGAAACCTATATCTTCTGTTTAAAAAAACACATGCATACACACAAAACCAGAAATTGCATTGTCATGTAAAATTTCATTGTTTTAAAATGTGAGTGTCAGAAAGAAGCAAACCAACCAACCCACTGTAGGGCAAAAACAACACGAAAGTAGTGAAAAAATAATTTTTTTGACTCAGTTTGATGCATGACCTCTGCACAATATGGTGTATGTGTTCAATTATGACTCTGAGTCTCATGATACTTTATCGTATCAATCCAGTAGAGCTGCCAATGTCCCAGTGAGTGCCACTGCATAGTATCAGGGTCAACACATTAGGATTGCCTGATTTGTGTAAATGTAAAGTCTGCAGTCTGATAGGTGGGGGTGGTAGAGCCAGCATGCACGCTGGTCATATCCAGGAGGGTTTGCCGAGCATAAGAGCCCTGAGCTTCCATGGCTTCACGACACTTGCTTCCACTGTCCTGGTGCTTGAAGGGGCAGTCTTGGACTGGGAACTCTGGCTCTCATCCAAGATCCCATCCTCAGCACTGGTCCAGGTGCCTTCTGAGCGAGAGAGCATCCAGAACTTCAAGCCACACCCACATAAGCCATCACAGTACTCTGTATAAAGATTGGGGTGCTGTGGCCTCTTCTCTCCCAAATGAATGTGTACGTGTCTATGTTGTGGTATATCTTAATAAAAAGTTTGATTTAATCAGATTAGATAGTTTCATGTTGGATAATCTTTTGTTATATCCAATAATTTTATAATAAATCTGAGTCATTTGGAAAGCCCATCATTAGTGGGTTCCACTTATTATCCCAAAGCCATGCCGCAAACGTAATGCAATCCACCAATGGCCTTAGACTTCCAAACTTAAACAATGAGCCTTCCAAAAATGACAAAGAAGTATGTTTCTCAACGGACACTCCAATTCCCAGTTTCCTGCCTTTTTTTTCTTCTTGGTCTCTCTCTTTTGTGAACATAAATCTAGTTCCAAGGTCAGAAGACCCAAAGGAGTCCAAAGTCATTAACCAAAGTCTTTCTTGTGCAGATAAAGTGGTAGCCTCATAAGGAAACCAAAAAGAAATGAAGTAGAAAGTCAGGGGTGAGGATGCTAGAATTAGGTCACTCATCTATATTTAATTCTGTTGGCTCTTTATGCAGCTTAACATTTACTTTCCATTTACCTCTGCTTGTTTTGCTGATAAGGAAGCAAAATTCAGACATTTTAAGTGCCTAGAAAGGAAGGATCTTCCAGTCACCATTTTCGATAAGCCTCTTTGACATGCAGACATACACCTCAAGCTTAGTTCAGTGGAGAAAGATCTGGGATTTTCACCACTAAGTCCCCAGTGTTAGGGACCCCCAGCTCTCACCATCTGCCCTGTTGGTTTTGCTTGGTTTTCTGCTTTGTGCTCCCTACAGCCAAGTTGGCACAATGTCACAGTTTCAGTTTGGGAAATAAGGGAGCATGTGAAAGCGAACTTATGGGAAACAGCATGTTGGAAGGAATCCTCTGGAAACTTACCCCTGCTTCCTAAAGAGAAGCCACTCCTGTCCTCTCCTCTGTGGTCAAGGAACACCCAAGGACATCAGCCTAGGCGGATAGTGAGCTGTGCAACTTGCAGTCCCAATATTCCACTTGAAAGGTGTTCTAGACTCCTCTTTTCAACCCAGGGCTGAAGGCTGTCTAAGAGATGTAGAAATGCATCAAACAAAGAAGTAAGGTAGGAGCCTTACAGCCCAGGAGATCCCAAAATTATCTCCACAGCTTGGAGGATGAAAGGGAGCACCATTCATACTCTTGCAAGGACAAGAGGTGCCCACTGACACTGTTCAGCGTGGTCACCTTCTTATGAACCAAGGAGACAAGCAGTTCTAACCCTGTTTTGATCTTGAGTCCCTTTGAGAATGGGATAAAATGTATGAACTTTCTCCCTGCACATACCTACTTACCGGTATACAATTTTACATAAATACTCAGGAGTTTCAGACACCCCTTTAATTCATCCATTGATCCCAAGCTGGGAAACCTTTTATAGTAAAGCTGATAATTATGGTCTATGAAGTCACTTCTTCCAAAGCTTCCAGTAAGTAATAGCAGAGAAAAAATGGAGGCCCCAGAAGTCTGTGTGTTTCAGGAAAAAACTCTATTCCTATCTCACCCCTAAATATTCTCTGCCTTGACATCATTACATCAGTGCTAATGTCTTTATGTCTCTTTTCCCAGTTTTCTTCAATCATTACAAGACACTCAATGTTCCCACACCAGTCCTTATGTCCCAAACTTCAATCCTCATGCAGGTCAGGAGCAGCAGGAAAATTACCCCTGCTCACTCTGCCATTACCTAGCACTGTTGCCCAGCTTCATTTTTTTCCAAAGTACTTGACACCACTTCATATCAGCTGTGCTTCACTTGTTTGACCCTGTTAGAATAAAGGTAGGGATTCCTATCTGTTTGTGCACTGCTTTTTCATACATATCTAAAAATGGTTCTTGGCATGTAACAGGCACTTCATAAATGTTTTTTGAATGAAAACCTGATGAATGGAAAGCTAACAGTTATTGAGCTCCTACTAAGTGCCAGGAATGCAAGTGCTTTTACTACACTATTTCATTTTATCTTTGCAACAACCTAATGATGGAAGGACTATTATTATTATTATTATTTATTAGTTTTTCAAGACCGAGTCTTGCTCTGTCACTCAGGCTGGAGTGCAGTGGCGCGATTATGGCTCACTGAAACCTCTACCTCCCAGCTTCAAGCAATTCTGCCTTAGCCTCCTGAGTAACTGGGATTACAGCTACCTGCCACCACACCCATCTAATTTTTGTATTTTTAGTAGAGACGGGGTTTTACCATGTTGGCCAGGCTGGTCTCAAACTCCTGACCTTGTGAACTGCCTGCCTCAGCCTCCTGAGGAAGGACTATTACTACTTTCATTTTACAGACAAGGAGGCTGACACTTACAGAGGTTATGGAGGGTCCCCAAAGATAGAGAGCCAGTGAATGATGGAGCCAAGATGTAGACCCAACCATCTCACTCCAGCAGCTCTGCTCTTAAGCACTGGAGTCTTGCTGTGGTTTGAAGTCATTACATGAAATATTCTAAGTCATGGTTTATTCTGTATCACAAATGTCTTGACTTCTGTTTTCTTTCTTTTCCTGAGCTATGTTTTCTGTTTTTCTAACAGATTAAGAAATAAACCTTAGCTGTTTCTCACAAACACACACACACATATATACCTCATTTCTTTTCATAGTAAAATTGTAATGAGATTTGGAACACTGGACCTTGAAATATTTGATGAGAACAAGCATCTCCATGAAACTACATGCCATTACTCACTTTCTACCACCCCCGCACAAACAATATCCATTTAATGGCAAGTCAGTTTGGAGAAACCCAGTAGTGGCAATTGAGCATTCATAGCATGTTTGGAATATAAGCCAGGGAGCCCAGCACACCCTCAGAATGATGCATTCTGCCTGCAAGCCTGCAATAGCACATTCATTTCTCATTCATGGGGAGAATGGGACACTTCTAGAAAGAACTGGTCTGGGGCAGGTGACTGGGGATTGACCCAAAGCAAGCACATCAACCTGAAAGGACAGATTCACCTTCTAAGATAGAGTTCTCACTGCCTCTAAGATGCTGCTGCTGGGGTAGAGATGCGAGTGCCTAAATCACCAAAAAAAAAATAATAATAATCACGTATGAAAAACCTGCTTTAAGTTCCACATTCTCATATATACCAACTGTGTATGTGCTAAGTAGTCATTCCTTGCTTATTTGTATTAGTGAGATTACTGAAGGTTCAAGTTCAGATGAGCCCCTTCTCTTTTCCCCAAAGTCCTAGCAGGGCTTCAAAGGGCCGCATTAAGATAGTAAAAGTTTCTGATAAAATTCACTCATTTGGTATGCATAGACATGCCAAGAATTGAGAAAGAAAAGAAAAGAAGAGAGAAGAAGAGAAAAGAAAAGAAAATCAGAGCTCTTGTCCTCCTGGGACTGTACTCCTGGGAGTACAGCATTTATGCTTTCTACAGAGCATACTGTTAGGTCATTAGTGCTGAATCAGAGCAAGAGCTGCCGTGCTGCTGAGCCATCCAATAGGACCTGAGATGCAGAAGTGGATGCCCCAAAGCATCTTAGCTACATCAAGTCCGATGGCAGCATTTTTTTAGTAGGACCTCAGAAGTTGTGTATCTCTCATTGGTCCTAGAATCTGGGATGCTGGCTTACATGCAGATTCCTGGGTCTCCTCATTAGAATCTCTGAGAGTGGGGGCCAGGAATGTGCATATTAACAATCTCCCCAGGAGATCCTGATGTTCACCTTCATTTGGTCCCTGGTCTAGTGATCACTGCTTTAGATCCTTAGGTCTACAGTGAAATTAAAGGGTTCAACTTGTTACTCTATATTCTTTTAACTTTGGTGATTTTTCTCATTGTGCTAGTTTAAAACCATCTATTTAGGAGTTAGTAGAGAATTTATTAAGAGCTTGAGATTTACAAATCAAAAAAGAAATGGTCAAAATCAGCACTTAGTTTTTACAACAACCTTGGACAATTTACTTAGTTCTTCAAGCCTCAGGCAAGTCATGTTAGATGTGGAGTGATACTTACCTCTTGGTATCGTTGGAAAAATTAAATGTGATAAAGACTGTAAGGTTTTTAGTCCAGTGACAGGCATGAAATAGGATAATGACGAGGTGGCAGTGGTGGTGACACAGAGACCCAGAGCTGGAATGAGGGGAGCTGACAGATTCATGAGGAGTCCTGGTCTTTAGAATCTGAGAACTTGGCAAAATAACATAAGAGAAGGGATGAGTAAGTTCATGTGAGGATGTTTGCCAGGGACAAAGAAAGCACCCTAGTTCCAGCAGCTCTAAAAATATGCCCCTCAGAACAAATCCAGCCTGTTATCTGTTTGTAAATACAGTTTTGTTAGCACACAGCTACACCTATTAAGTTATATATGGGCTATGACTACATTTAAGCTGCAGTGGCAGGGTTGAGTTGCAAGAGATATGGTCTGGCCTACAGAGCCTAACATGTTTACTAGTTGGTCCTTTTCAAAAAAAAAAAAAATGCGTCAACCCTTACCCTTAGTGAACTGCCAGAGGAGCTTTTATGTTATAGAGGAAGAGGGGCCAAGAGAAGAAACTGAATCATGAAGAAGACAAAGGTGCCAGCTATGCTGCCTATGCTGCCCAGCAACATGCCACATACACACACTCACACTCACAATACACCTCCATCACAACCTCCACATGCACACACTCACACTCACAATACACCTCCATCACAACCTCCACATACACACACTCACACTCACAATACACCTCCATCACAACCTCCACATGCCCAGGAGATTTCAAGGACTTGTTCAGTGTCCTCCTTCTAAGGGTTTCTCAGGACACCCATCCTCCAGCCTGGCCAAGGGGAAGGGGCAAGAGGATGAAAGCCACGACACTTAAACCCAGACCTGGCCCTGCCACTAACCAGCTCTGCAACCCTGGGAAAGTCATTTTGTCTTTCTGAGCTTCAAGGTCCTCGTTTTACAAATGAGGAGTCTGGAGTTGTTTGAGCCATTTACTAACGCTACACACAGCCTAAGTTCAGGCCTTCCCTGAAGGGATTATCTGTCTTAGTGTGCTTGCCAGAAATCAAGGAGTAGAGAGGTAAGAAGTTGATTTGGTTACTGGGTATCTCTTGGTCCCCTTCCACATCGAGTTGCAGGCTTATACACTGGGAGAGGCATCCTTAATCTCTACCCAGTTTTGGACCTAGTGGCCAATAAATGAATGTTGGTTTACATTCATTATGTCCCCTACTCACCCACCTCAAATTCCTGGCTTGAAGCCCTATTCCTCAGTGTGACGGTATTTGGAGATAGGGATTTTAGGGACATAAGATTAAATGAGGTTATAAGGGTGGTGTCCTAATCTGATGGAATTAATGCCCTTACAAGAACAGCATACACTAGCGAGCCCTCTCTCTCTGTGAGAGACACAGTAGAACACACTGAGAAGGTGGCCATCTACAAGTCAGGAAGAGGGGCCACAGCAGACACTGACCATGCTGGCACCTTGGTCTCAGACTTTCAGCCTCCAGAATTGTGAAAAAACAAATTTCTGTTGTTTAAGCCACCCAACCTCTGGTATTCTTTTATGGCAGCCTGAGAAGATTAATACAATTAGATTCTAGGTGCGGTGACTTTGTAAAAAAATAACATTTGCACCAACCTTTGCTCAAAGGGCTTCTTCTGCAGATGAGGAGTAGAAAGAAGTAGTGGCAGACACTGAGTATCCATGTGGCCACCTGAATCTTTCCATCTCATCTAATCTTTCTTTTGCTTGAAAGTTTGTTTTTATAAAATGAGAAACAAAAAAAAAATGGACCTTGAAATCATGAGGAATGCATTTGGATCCCAGCTCAATGGTATTGTGCAAATAAAATCTAACTTGAGAGTTTGGGGGTTGATCAAATCTGTAGTCAAAAACCCGATTCACCTTTAGCTGTATTACCTTGGTCAAGTTACTCCACCTCTCTGATGAACAGTTGCTTTATCTACAAAATGAGAATAGTATTAGTAATTTACCAGGTCATTGTGACGATTAAATGCAGTAGAGCATATAAAGAATCTAGCTCATAATGCTATGCAATATCACAAATGTAGCCTTTGAGAAGGTAGTTGTGCTGGTCATCTTTTGTGTCATAAGAAATTACCTCAAAACTTACTGACTTAATACAAAATTTAGTGACTTAAAACAAAGTCTTATTTTATAGTTTCTTTGTGCCAAGAATCTATACATGGCTTAACTCACCACCTCTGGCTCTAAGGTTTTTTACAAGGCTACAACTAATGCATTGGTCAGGGCAGCAGTCTCACTCTAAGTCTTGACTGTGGGAGGATCTATTTACTCACATGGTTGTTGGCAGAATTTGGTTTCTTGCTGTATTGAGGGCCTCATTGTCCTGCTGGCTCTCTCATATTCCTAGTCATGTTGGTTTCTCCATAGGGCAGCTCAAAACATGACAGCAAGCTTCCCAGAGAACTGACAAAAGAGAAAGAATGTCCAAGATGGAAGTTATAGTTTTTTTTGTAATTGAACCTTAAAAGTGATATTCTATGAACTTATACCACATTCTATTCATTAGAAATGAGTCACTTAGTCTGGCACATACTCGAGGGCACTGGCATTACCAAGGATGTTATCAAGGGAATGAAGACCAGGAGGTGGGCTTCTCCTGGTTTTCATTCATCAGGAAGATCTTAGAGGCTGCTGACCACAACAGGGTAAAGTGTGAAGAAGAGTAAAAACATGCTCTGGAATAAGACTGTAGTCAATCCTCTTTATGAATGAAATTTCCCTACAGGCTAAAATTTATTTGTAACTTTCAAATCAACACTCCTGGCACATTTGTGTTCACTTGCAGGATTCTTAGAGCAGTTGAGTCACTCAACACTCAACACAAGCATTCCTAGCTGAGGTGGGACAACAATGTGATCCTCTGCTTTTTCGTTTCAGCACTCAGACTGAGAACAAGTGTCCCTTTTGTGGTCTATTTAGTGTCCCATGTATTTTTTCTCATTTTTATGCTTTAGATTGGTGATTTTGCGGTTTAAAATGGTCCCAAAGCATAGTGCTGAAGTGATCCTAAGTAGAAGGCTGCTGTGTGCCTTACAGACAAAATATATGTGTAAGAGGAGCTTCATTTGGGCCTTACAGACAAAACATATGTGTAAGAGGAGCTTCATTTGGGCATGGGTCACAGTGCTGTTGGCTATACGTTCAATGTTAATGAGTCAAAAGTACATATTGAATAAGATGTGTTTAAACAAAACACAGTTAAAACAGGTTACATGTTGACTGGAGGCTCAAAGGAATCTAACCATGTATTTCCTCTAGGAGCAACTGTTTAATATTCACTTATTCAGTGCTCATAGCCACTTTACAGAAGATAACTGCCACAAATAATGAGAAACGACTGTACTTGGGTAAAGTCAACTCCGCCACTTGCCCAGCTGTGCCATCCTGGGAAAGCTTCTTAACCTCTTTGTGTTTTGTCTTCACTAAGAGAAAAATAGGGATAACCATAGGACCTCCAGCCAACGGCTTTGGGGAGGATAAACTGTGACATTCCTGGTACAGTAACTAGCACACAGTAAATACTTCATAAACAGGAGATATTATTGGAATTATTGTCTGAGCTCCGTTTCTTCAAGATCATAGCAAATTTTCTGTAAGTGTACGTTCTTCTATTCTGGGGCAGTGTCTGCTGCAGAGTAGGCACTAATGAACAACATGTTGAATGAAACAAGAATTCTCTGATCATATTAGGGGGAAATCTAAAGCTGGGAGAAAGCAAGTTCCTGTTTCTGGGCTCTGGGTTTGATATTACCATTGTGGCTAGTGTGAGTGGGAATGTGTGAAACGTTATAAGAACTCTCTCATTAGAACCCACATCAAGACACTAAATCCATAGTATTGACAGACTGTTGACTCACCTCTCCCAAGAACCCAGAGAATGCCCGGCAGATGGAAATGTACCCAAGACGCGGAAGCAGTGGTATTTTCCCCATGTCACCAGGCGTGAGGCCAGAAGCTGATTCGGCAGTGGTCTACAATGGGATTAATCATCTGTAAATAAGTCACCTACGTCGTCTTGGAGATGATTTTTTTCATCTCTACATGCCAAGTCATCACCATAAGAACCGAGGTGTGACATCCATATGGCCTCTGGGTTTGGCATCTGACCTTGGTTTTGCAAGTTGATCTTCAGGCTGTCTTTCCTCAAAATGGAAAGCATTCGGGAGCTGTCCACTACAGACTACCTCAGGGAGAGGGTGCAGGTGGATTTCAGGGGCTACCACTATTAGCTCTCTCTTAGGAAGCCAGAAATTATTCAGGAGGTTATTGGGGGCACAGCTAAAGGAGGGTATGCATTATATCCTGTTTTCTTCAGGGCATCCTGATGAAGCTGTGTGACTCAGAACCAATTAATCTCTCTGAGGTTTAGTTGCCCTCATCTGTGAAATAGCATCTATTTTGCAAAGCCTATGGAAACTCACCTGGTTGAAGGAGAAACTTAAGTTTATTCTCAGTGGAGTCATATCACCACCTACCCCTTCTTCTCAGGGTTAGTATTAGCTACTAACAATAGTTAACTTTAATTGAGCACTTATAACTTCCCAGACATTATCTCATCTATTCTTCCCTCAACACTACTATTTACATTGTTCAAGTAAAGAAACTGAGACACAGAGATGTGAAGTAACGTGTCCAAAGTCACATAGTTAACAAGTGGGGGAGATGGAATTTATCCCCAGGTCATCTGACTCCAGAGTCTGTGTTAACATCTAACAGCTTCCATTGAAGATATCTGTATTTTCACAAGGGCCTCTTAGCAATAACAAGATGCATGCTGTAAGTTTCAGGTGGTACATTCAGCTAGTGAGAAAGACACCTGCAGAAGACAGGCCCTGCAGCATACCTCTCCCATGATTATCTTCCTCTACTTGAGAGCTGACCACATAAAATGAGATTGGAAAATTAAACTCACCATGATTTCTTCCTTCTTAAATAAAGAGCTGTGATTAATTTGGTGTATTAAGTTGTGATTAACTCTGAGACTATAGGGTCTCAGAGTTTATAGAGCTGAAGTGCAGAGGGCAGAAGTCCCTCAAATTCCGCAGACCCTCTCCCACTCTCCAGCTTCATTTTTCAGTAATGCACTGTTTATCCAATACCTGCTCAGTGCTAGGGACTAGACTCAGCATCTGCTGGGCCATGTCACTACTCTTCCCAAGAATTTCTGAGCTAGCTACAAAAAATTTCCACTTTACAGACGAGAAAGTGAAGGCAGAGCAGTTACATGACCTCACAAGATAGAAAACCAGCAATAGATAGAACTGGGATTCATGTCCAAGGCTGCCTGGCTTCAACACCAGACCTCCCTTTCCCTACATGGTCACCCCAGAAGGCTTCCCTGATGCTGGAAACCTATGCTTTGTGCCAAAAGGCTTTTTTAGTCTAGCTGCTGAAACTGTGGACTGTGAAGTGTGGCTATGGAGTGTGATGGGAGATCGATGTGCCACAAAAAACAAAACCCTCTCTGGAGACAGAAGATGTGGTCTGGAACACCAGGTCACATATATTAGGGGCTTAATGTGACTCGGGTTGTAAGTTACCTTCTATTACACCAAGGAGGGATGGAACTGGAAAGCTTCTTGTGCCAGAATTCCTACCTTGGATGACAACCACAGTTTCGAAGAATGTTTCTTATCCACCTCAAAAAGGTCAACTGACAGGCCAGCACCACAAAAATCCTTTCGAACACGGAAAATCTTTTAAGCATTAATACCTTGAGCTGGAAGCAAAAGTGTTGTTTTGTTTTTAAAGACATAGGACAGATGCTGACACCCAACCCTACGGCAGTTTGGTGTCTACTGAACCAAAAATGGCTACAGCAGCACACACTGGTCTAAGTATAAATTGAAATAATATTCTGGAGGACAATTTAGTAATATAGCTCAAAGAGCTGAAAAATGTACATAGTCTTTTATCCAGCCATTCTGCTTTTAGGATTACAGTCTAAGGAAACCATGAGATATGTGCACAAATGAATTCATCACAGCATTATTTTTGTTTTATTTTATTTTTCCATAAGTTATTGGGATACAGGTGGTATTTGCTTATATAAGTAAGTTCTTTAGTGGTGACTCATGAGACTTTGGTGCACCCATCACCCAAGCAGTATACACAGCACCATATTTGTAGTCTTTTATCCCTCACCCCCTCCTACTCTTCCCCGCAAGTCCCCAAAGTCCATCGTATCATTCTTACGCCTTTGCGTCCTCATAGCTTAGATTCCACATGTTAGTGAGAACATACGATGTTTGCTTTTCCATTCCTGAGTTACTTTACTTAGAATAATAGTCTCCAGTCTCATCCGGGTCCCTGCAAATGCAGCCATAAAAGGGAACTGCAAATTCATTCCCTTTTATGGCTGCATAGTATTCCATTGTGTATGTATATATTACAGTGTCTTTATCTACTCGCTGATTGATGGGGTTTCAAGTTGCTTCCACAATTTCGCTATTGTGAATTATGCCACTAGAAGCATGTGTGTGCAAGTGTATTTTTTGAATAATAGATACCCCGCAGTGGGATTGCTGAGTCAAATGGTAGTTCTACTTCTAGTTCTTTAAGGAATCTCCAGTGCTTTCCATAGTGGTTGTACTAGTTTACATTCCCATCAGCAGTGTAGAAGTGTCCCCTGTTCATCGTCTCCATATCAACATCTATTGTTTTTTGATTTTTTTATTACGGCCATTCTTGCAGGAATTAGGGGGTATCACATTGTGCTTTTGATTTGCATTTCCCTGATCATTAGTGATTTTGAGCACTTTATTCATTTATTGGTTGGCCATTTGCATATCTTCATTTGAGGTTTGCCTATTCATGTTCTTAGCCCACTTCTTGATGGGATTGTTGGTTGTTTTCTTACTGATTTGTTCGAGTTCATTGTAGATTCTGGATATTAGTTCCTTGTTAGGTGTATAGATTGTAAAGTTTTCCCTCACTCTGTGGGTTGCCTGTTTACTCTTCTGACTATTCCTTTTACTGCATCACAGCACTATTTTAAAAAGAAAAATAATAGGGCCGGGCACGGTGGCTCAAGCCTGTAATCCCAGCACTTTGGGAGGCCGAGGCGGGTGAATCACGAGGTCAAGAGATTGAGACCATCTTGGTCAACATGGTGAGACCCCGTCTCTACTAAAAATACAAAAAATTAGCTGGGCATGGTGGCGCTTGCCTGTAATCCCAGCTACTCGGGAGGCTGAGGCAGGAGAATTGCCTGAACCCGGGAGGCGGAGGTTGCGGTGAGCCGAGATTGCGCCATTGCACTCCAGCCTGGGTCACGAGAGTGAAACTCCGTCTCAAAAAAAAAAAAAGAAAAAGAAAAATAATAGAAACAATCTACATGTCCATTAATAGGGATTTATTATATTACCCATTCTGATTGAACTAGACAGGTGCTAAAAGCTCCGGACTTTCCCTCTCAATCTTGCTTCTCCTCCACAGCTCCCAGTGTGGTTGATGATACCCTCATCCATGCAGATGCACCAGGCAGAAACCCGGGTGTTCCTGAACACCTCTCTATCCTTGCTTCCCCTTCCCAATCAGCCACCAAGTCCTGTCCCATACAAATGCTAAAGAGACCTCAAATCTGTCTCTTTTTCCTGTGCTCACTTGACACAATCTGAGTCCAAACCACCAACCCCTGTATCCTGGATACTCTTAGGTGTCCGATATCCATCCAGAATCTCCAGTTCTAATCTCTACACACTTCTGTAGCTAGAGTTCTTTTAAAAGAAAACTCTGATGATTTCTTCCTTGCTTTCCTCTCAAAGTTTTCCCATTGTTCTTGTGGTAAAATAATTCCACCATATGCTCAACCACAAAACCCCATAGCAGGGGTCAGCAAAATTTTCTGGGAAAGGTCAGATAGTACATCCTTTAAGCTTTGTGGACCCTACAGTCTCTGAAACAACTATTCATCCCTGCCAGTGTGGTGTGAAAACAACCACAGACATTATATAAATCAATGGGTGTGGCTCTGTTCCAATAAAATTTTATTCACAAAAACAGGTGGGGTGCTGGATTTGGCCCCTGGGCTGTTGCTTGTCAATACTTGTCCTGTAGTATCTGCTTCCTATTTTTCTTCCTAATTTCCACAAAGCCACTTCACCCCCAACTAGTCACTGTCTCCTCCTTAAGACCTCAGGCAAGCTATTCCCCAACCAGCAATTTTCCTTTCTATTCCCAGCCTGCCCTACTCTACCCTTCTAGGACCAGCACATTGCCCTCTGGCCAGCAGTTTCTCACTATTCCAGTCTCACCTTCAGAGTTTTTCTTTTAGGTGAATTCCCTACATCCAGGATAGGTTAGGATGCCCCATTCTTCCAAGACTTCATACTTGTTCTTTGCTGAGGTTTTCAAATTTGAGATTAAACAATTCTTAATGCAGTTGTGTGTTCATATGTCACTTCTGTTAGACTCAAAGTTCTAGGAGATAAGGAATTATGCAAATTATTGAACACAAGTATATTCTTAGTGCCTGGCATGGTGTCTGACACATACAGAAGGCATTAAATATTTGTGGAAATAAATATTTGTTGACTGAAAAAAATGATCACAAAACTAGAAAAAGAGGCTTGAACAGATATACTGAAATATGAGGAGATAAGTGTATAGGTGATTTTAATTTTTTTCTTATACTTTCTTCCACTTTTCAACTGTTTCACAAAAAGCATGTATTATTAGTCTACTCAGAAAAATAATTAATGAATGGAGAGAGAAAAAAGCCCTGCTTCTGTGTTCAAATAACCTGTGAAACAAGCCCATTTTTGGCAAATTCTACCTATAGAACCATCGTCCTTTCTCTGCTTATCCAGAGCTGCTTAATAAGCCCCTCTACTTCCATTCTTATTGCCTTTATCTGGTCATTCTTCATTTTCTATAGGTCACTTCCTCAGATCCAGGAGCATCTGTGTATCTTGGTAGTGATCTGAATTGTGCCACTGCTTCTATTCCTGTGGCAGATGGGCACTAGTGTACATATACCCACACAGCCTAATTGGCCATCGAGGGCTTTCCAATGCCAAGTTTAGGAAGGGGTTAAGAGATTAACTGCTGCCATGTGAAATGACAAGCACCGGTAGTTTTGCAATGCAGAAGCTGTCCATGCAGATGGGAAGTGGAACAGCTAACTTATTCATTTCACTCACCAACAGCTCAGCTTCCAACATCTGGTCATTTCCATGCCAGGCTGGTCTCCAAGTGGTACACAGGGGCAGCAGGCCACATGGCCACCATGTTCCAATTTACTCATCCGATAATTCCCTCCACATTCAAGAGGAAACCAATGAAGATGAGAATAATTATTATCTCCAAATAGAGATAGCATTTTGGTCACTTTCCAAAAAAATCTATGTGGGTAGAATAAGAAGGGAGTCAATGATTGACAAAACATTTGTGGGTTATGTAATGGATTATGGGCCTACAAAGAAGTAAAAGATCTATCACTGACGTTGATTTTTTAAAGTTCCAGATTGGATGCATATTCAACACAATCCCATAGAAAGATAAGCAACAACACAAGGTAAGATAAATAGCAGGCTTAATTGTCCAAAAAGTGATAGTGACAGTTAGGGACATGATAGTCACATTCCTTCCAGTTCTGTGAAAGTCAAGGAAGGCCATTACTTCACATTCTTAAATTTCATGGCATATCTGAGTGCTATTGGCTGCAATTAACAGAAAATCCTGACTTAAGAACTTAAGTAAGAAAGCAAGTATCATTTCATATTTGAAGTCCAGAAGTAGGGCAGGGGTTGGTAACCTAGCAACTCACGAAGTTATCCTGAATCCTGCTTTTTCCATCTCTTCACTTGGCCATCAAAGATTGTTTCAACCTCATACCTAGAATTAAAATAGCTGCAGCAATTATAGGCATGACAATCCTTTCTTATGGTTTTCTGTTTGGAATGAGGAAACTCTTTTTGGAAATCCTCCAGCAGATTCCCCTGATGTGTCATTGGCTGGAGCCAATCTCTGGCACAGGGATGAAAATGACCCTTGGACCAATTAGACTCACCAGTGGAGTTGGCTGTAGGGTCAGCTTCTCCTGAAACATGTGGTTACATGGGAGATGGCTTTTGCTAGAAAAGAAAGAAAATGAATTCTAAGCAGCCAACCAGTACTGTCTATCACTCATGGATAATTTCAAGGTGAGAAACATTTTACACCTGCAGAATCTGGTATTGCAATGACCTTTCCAGCTTCATCTCTCACTATGTAGGTCTCCATCAGACACCCTAGACTACCAAGCAGGCTGTGATTCTCTCAATTCTTCGAGAGCAATGTGCTTTCTCAAACCACTCTGGAATTAATTATTTCTGTTTCTCAACTTTAGGCTAATTATACATGGTTGTTTGCCCAGAATCGTCCGGGTTTACACTGGTTATCTTTGTATTATTACTAATAGTGACCCCTTTTCATAAGCCTTCCAATTTGGATAAGAACATGAAAAATATTTAGGAAAGAGAAGGGAAGTGTTCGGGGATTGGGTGTGCAGAGTCAAGGAAGGAAAGTAGGATGACTCTCAGGCATCTCACTTGGGAGGTTGGGTAGGTAGAAATAGAAGTCATCAAAACAGGGAATCAAGGAGGGGAGATTATTTTGGGGGAGGTGTTAATGAGTTAAATTTTGGACTTAGGACATAACTGGGTACAGATGACCAGGTAAATGTTAATTATGTAAGTTCAGAATTCAAGAGAGAAAGACATTATCTGGTGATAGAAATGTGTGAAATAGGATCATCCCTGTAATCCCGGCACTTTGGGAGACCAAGGTGGGTGGATCACTTGAGGTCAGGAGTTTGAGACTAGCCTGTACAACATGGTGAAACCTCATCTCTACTAAAATATAAAAATTAGCTGGGTGTGCACCCGTGGTCCCCACTGCTTGGGAGGCTGTGTGGCAGAGGTTACAGTGAGCTGGGATTGTGCCACCACCCTCTAACCTGGCCAACAGAGCAATAATCTGTCTTTTAAAAAGGCAGTGTGTGAAATAGCATCTAGATACTTGAAGAAATAGTATCTAGATACTTGAAGTCATGAATATGAAAGAGATGACCCAGAAGAAAGGCAGAATTAGAATGTGCCCATGGTAAGAGTCCTGGTAAGACCAACACTTAGAAGTTGTAAAATGGAGAGGAAGCAGTGATGCACACTAGGAAAGACTGACCAGAGGGAGAATTGGGGAATCAGGAGAATAGAGGCATAGAAGCCCAGGAAAATGAGAATTTCTAGAGGAAAGGAATGTCGGTGAAGTCCCTAGTGTTACAGAGAGCTCAGATAAGGTAAAGACCAAAAAGAGTGTATTGACATAGGAATTCATTGGCCACCTTTCCTGGAGCATTCAGAGAACAGCATAGAATTATATCATTTTAGTTTGAAAGACGACATCATTAATGACCTAGTTTTTAATGAGAAAATGCTGTTTTCACAAGGTTAGTTAAGATTTAGTGGCGGAGCCTAGACTACAACTGCCAACACTTGATTCATTGTTCATGGAGTTGGCCTGTCACATTGTGCTGTCCCTTTCTGTGTGCTGAAACTGTGGAGATTGGTGAAAGCGGGAAGCAGGCAGGATCAACACAAATCAGTCTTCAAGAATCTGGACAGACAATGTGACTTCCTCTTCTCCCCATCTTCACTACTGCTACCTTGGCTGCGGCCATGATCACAACACACCTGGACTGCTGCAGTTGCCTCCTGACTGATCTCCCTACTACCTCCAGCCCACCCTCCTCACATCAGAAATGCATCATAGTACTTCTCTGCTTAAAACACTTCAAGGAAGCACCAAGGCAGTTCAAAGAGAGAAAGAAGCTGGCACAAAAATAACTGGATAAACATCTGAAAAAAAAAAAAAACTAACCACTATAATGGCCAAAAATACAATTTAAAATGAATCATAAATCCAAACATAAAAACTAAAAGTGTGCTGTGCTGTTTCTATTATAAAACTTAAAAAAGTAATTCATAATCTTGGGAAAGGCAAAAAATTTTAGATGCAGAACAAAAAGTACTCATCATTAAAGGAAAAAAAAATTGACTTCATCAAGATTAAAAGCTTAATGCTCATCAGTTAAGAAAATGGAAGAGGCCAGGCACGGTGGCTCACACCTGTAATTCAGCACTCTGGGAGGTCAAGCTGGGTGAATCATGAGGTCAGGCAGTTGAGATCAGCCTGGCCAAGATAGTGAAACCCCATCTCTACTAAAAGTACAAAAAGTAGCCAGTCATGGTGGCACACACCTGTAATTCCAGCTACTCGGGAGGCTGAGGCAGGAGAATCACTTAAACCTGGGAGGCTGAGGTTGCAGTGAGCCAAGACTGCACCACTGCACTCCAGCCTGGGCAAGAGAGCAAGACTCCATCTCAGAAAAAAAAAAAAGGAAAGAAAATGGAAGAAAGTCTTAGACTGGGGGAAAATGTTATTATATATATATGCTTATATTCCAGAATATATAAAATCATTTTACTAATCAATAATTAAAAGACCAAAACCTCAATTAAAGAACTTTACAAGACACATCACTAAAGAAGATATATGTAAGGACAGAAAGCAAATAAAAAAATGCTCTAAGTCATTAATTACCAAGGAAAGGTAAATTAACATTTTAATGAGCTACTATCTCACACCCTAATGGCTAAAATTAAAAAGGACAGACAATCCAAGTGTTGACAGGGGCTTTGGAAGCAGCTGGAACTCTAATACATTGCTGTGTGGAGGGTAAAACAGCCCATCTACTTTGGAATGCCGTGGGAAGTTTTTTATAAATATGCACCTATCAGAAAAAATAAACAAAATTAGAAGACTTATACCACACAATTTCAAGAATCAAACAGTGTGATAGTGGTGTAAGGACAGACATATACAAAAATGACACAGAATAGAGGATCCAGAAATGGAATTACTGTATATGGTAAATTGATTTTTGACGAAGGTATGAAAGAAATTTAATAAGGAGCAGGATAGTCTTTTCAATAAATGGTTCATGAACAAGTGGATATACATATACAAATGTGAACATCACATCATATACAAAACTTAACTCAAAGTGGACCATAAATCTAATCATAAAAGTAAAATGATAAGACTTCTAGAAGAAAACCTGTGACCTTAGGTTCGGGAAGGATTTCTCAGGACACAGGCATTAACCATAAAAGAAAAAAAATGATAAATTAGACTTCAGCAAAATAAAAATAAATTGCTTTATAAAATATACTGTTACAAAACTGAAAATACATGCCACAAACTGAGAGAAAATGTTGGCCGCACATATCTCTGATAGAGAGGTATGTTTGTATACAAAATATAGAAAGAATTTTCAAAACTCATTAACAAGAAAGTAATGTAATTTTTTTTAATGTAAAAAGATTTAAGCAGATATTTCCCCATCTATGAGAATGATACTAAGCATATGAAAAACTGCTCAATATCATTAGTCATTAGGAAAATGCAAAATAAAACCAAGTGAGAAAAATGGCAAAGTAAGCTTCTTTGAAAATTCGCTCCTCTGTAAAAGCAGTGAGAAAACTCTTACGTATTGCTGAGCATCTAAGAAACCATGTGCATGGCACTTGCCAGGAAAGGCCTGCGAAGGCCCTAAGCTCTCACTTCTTGCTGACCATGAGGCTCTATGCAAGAGGAGATTGCGGGCTGAGGTGGAGCTGTCAACTGCCTTGCTAAGTGTTCAGAGCATGTTCCTGTATTCACACACAGTCGCTTTGCAAAGACTGGATGACTTGTCGGTTCTAGGCAGTTAAGACAATATTTGCACAGTCATTACCTGTCTAGTAAGCTAATTAAGCAGTGACTTCAGTGGCCACACTCAACAAAGAATGCAGATTTGATAGAAGTAGGTCATAAAAGTCAGTAAACAAACAATAACTACAACGGATAGCAGCAGCAACAACAACCCTAGAAAGGGGAGAGAAACTGATCTCCAGAACTGCTGCCTTATGTTATTTAAAAAATATGGTTTTCAACAAGAATTATAAAATATTTAAAGAAATAAGAAAATATGACCCATATGCAGGGAAAAAGCAATCAATAGAAACTCTCTGAAAAAGCACAGATATTAGACTTACCAGACAAAGAATTTAAATCAGTTATTTTAAATGTCTTTTAAAAAACTAAAATATGCCATGTCCAAAAAAACTAAAGGAAATTATGAGACTAATCTCTCACCAAATAGAAACTATCACTAAAGAGAAATTATGTAAAAGAACCAAATACAAGTTCTAGAGTAGAAAAGCATAATAACTAAAGTGAAAATCCACCTGAGGGGATAAACCACATATTTGAACTGGCTGAAGAAAGAATTAGCAAATATGAAGACAAGTCAATCGAAATCACCCAGTCTGAAGAATGAAAGAAAACAGAATGAAGGAAAATCAACAAGACATCAGAGACCTATGGGATAACACGAAGCATACTGAGAGATGCAAAATGGGAGTGGGAGTAAGGTAGGTAAGGGATAGAAAGAGTATTTGAAGAAATAATGGCCAAACTTTCCAAATTTTATGGGAAAAAAAACAACGTTAACCTACATATCTAAGAAGCTCAACAAATTCTAAGTAAGATAAACCTCAAAGAGTTTGACACTTAGACAAACCATAATCAAATTGTCAAAGCCAAATCAAATAACATTCTACTATACACTAACTAGAATGGTCAAGATTTATTTATTTTATTTTATTTTTATTTTCAGTAGATATGAGGTCTCTCTCACTCAGACTGGTCTCAAACTCATAGGCTCAAGCAATCCTCCTGCCTTGGCCTCCCACAAAGTGCTGTGACTACAAGCATGAGCCACTCTTCCTGTCCTAGAATGACCAAAATTTTAAAAGTCCCCTGGAACTTTCTGGCATTGCTAGTGGAAATGTGAAATGAAAAGCTACATAGGAATATATTTCTCACTTTCATATAAGTTAACATATACTTAGCACATAACTAAGCAACTTTACTCTCAAAAATTATATTTAAATACTTATAGCAACTTTTTTCATAACAGCCCCAAACTGAAAACATCCTAAATGTGTATCACCTGGTAAAGGAATGGATGAACAAGTGGTAGCATATCCATACAATGGAATACTACCCAGCAATTGAAAGGTATGAACTAGTAACACATGTATCCACATGGATAAATATCAAAAGCATTGTAAGTAAAAGAAGTGAGACATAAAAGACCACATAACCATATGATTCATTAACATATGAAAGTCTAAGAAAGGTAAAACTATGATGACAGAAAGCAAATCGATGACTGCCAAGGACAACAAGTTGGGGAAGGACATTGATTGCAAAGAGTCATGAGAAAATTTTGGGGATGATGTAAAATTTCCATATTATGATTGTGGTGATGGTTACACACCACATGTATTTGTCAAAACTCATCAAATCATTTACTTAAAATAAGTGAATTTTATTGTATGTAAATTATACCTTAATAAAGCTAATTAATTCAAAACATAAAAGGAAATAATAATAATATACCTACTTGGTGATCCAGCTATTCCACTCCTAGTTATTTACTCAGGAGAAGTCCTCAAAAAGACTTGTATAGAAATGTTTATAGCAGCTTTATTTATAATGGCCAAAACCTGGGGGCTGGAGGAAGCCCTTCAACAGGAGAATGGATACGCCAATTATGGACATTTATACAATAGAATGTTACTTAGCAATACAAAGGAATGAACAACTTGGATGAATCTCAGAAACACTGTGCTGAGGGAAAGTGAGACACAAAACAATTCATGGTGTATGATTTTATTTATATGAAGTTAAGAATAGGCAAAACACATATATGGTGCTAGAAATGAGAAGAGTGGTTGCCTATTCTGGGTGGTAATTGATTGGAAAAAGAAGAAAAGTTCCCATGAGGGAACTTTCTGGGGTGATGAGAATATTCTATGTTGTGACTAGGGAATTTATTGTAAGGCATATGGATTTATCACTCCTGGTAGAATGGTACACTTAAAATCTGTACATTTCAGCATATGTAAATTTCATAAACTCCAAGTGATCCTCATTACATTTAGAATAAAATCAAGACTCTATGGAGACCTTCAAGGTTCCAGCCTGCCTTTCCAATTTACTCCATTCTATGCTATCTTTCCCTCCCTGTTCTCCAGGCACCTCTAGCTAGTCCCAGTAATCATGGCCTTAGCATGTGTTGTCTTCTTTGCCTGGATGCTGTCCCCTGCTTCTTCACATGGTCGGGCCATCCTCATACTTCAGGTCTAAGATGAATCCCAGTTTGTCATCCTCATACTTCAGGTCTAAGATGAATCCCAGCTTGTCTGAGAGACTTTTCTTGACTATACCTGAAGTAGACTTCCTTGGTTGTCTTTGCCCTCGGTCTGTTTCTCTCATGGCATTTATTAATAATTCTTGCCATTTTTTGGCCAATCTACTTACTTGTGCCAGCCCACAGAAGGTAAGTTCTCAGCTCTGTGAATGGTATAGTTTAGTATTTTGCTTTTCTTTGTTGAAGGGTGTAGACTATGGAGGTTTAAAATTTGTTTTAATTACAAAACGACACCCATCACTTTTTTTCTCTAAACCTGTCTTAAACACTTCATCCCTGTTGGCCCTGGCTTTCCAAATTAAATTAAAAGTTTCCAAAGGTAAGAGTCAGACTAATTTATTTCTTCCCTAGACACTTACATGGTTTGATTTGATTTGCTACTACCCGCCCCCAAATTGTTGAGCTCACCTGTGATTATGTCAGAACATCAAAATCTTCAACCTTAGGAGTCTTTTTCTAGGTCAAAACAAAATATCATTAGAAGATCCCTGTGGAAATACAAATATACTCTGGGGGGGTAGACTAAAATGTTGTCATGTAGGTATAATGACATGCTGTGAAGTTTATGTCCCTCTAAAAATTCATAGGTTGAAATTCTAGCCCCCAAAGTGATAGTATTAGAAGGTGGGGCATTTTGTGAGGTTCCACCCTCATGAATGGGATTGTTTCCTTATAAAAGAGGCCCAAGGGGGCTTGTTTGCCCCTTCCACCATGTGAGGACTCAGGGAGGAGGCACCATCTATGATCAGAAAGCAGGCCCTCACCAGACACTGTATCTGCCACCATATTAATCTTAGACTTCCCAGGCCCCAGACCTATAAGAAATACATGTCTGTTGCTTATAAGCTACTAAGTCCATACTATTTTATTATAGTGGCCTAAAAAGACTATGACTATTTTTAATAGTTCAGCACTCTTTTACTCTCAAAATTGTCCAGTTTTGGATACTAAATTATATCCTACCCATCAGGAAATCTTATTGGTGTAGTGGCACAGAGGAGAAGGGAGCCTTGGTGGGGGCTGAGGGACAGCTGCGCTTGGAGAAGAGACAGGCACATAAAGCTAATAGGAGGTGTCAGGTGTTCAGAAAGACACAGGAGTGGAAATGGTGGGTGGCAAAAGAGACTCCAGAGGGGAATAGGGGATGTTCTAGAAGAGGAGTCCTCAAGACAAGCTTTGCTACTTAACAATTTTGTCAGGTGCCAGTTCAGCCCACAGCACACACAACACATTTACCTTTCCTGGAGGCAAAGGTGATAACTAGCACCAGACTTGTCCAGAAGAAAGTTAACACATTTTAATAATTTATATTCAACCCACAATCCTTGTTTATTCTAGCAAAGGAGTTAGGAGCATCTATTTCAACACTAATTCTTTGGCTGAGTTATTTTCCAGCAGTAGCTGAAACTATGTACAAGGTAAGCCCAGAGGGATGGGCTGAGGGGAAAATCCTCCATGGACCTGGATGAGTAGTGGTTCTCAGGACAAAATGTTGGCTAGAGAATCCCAGTTTCTTGGTCCCTCAGGGAAAGTTAGTGCAATTCTTATTAATGCTTACCTCAAGGTTCTCTGTTCTGACAACTCACTGTGAGCATCTCATAAGCAGAGGTGGTCTACAGGGAAAAACTCCTTTTCAGATTTATCTTTCTCCAAGCCTGGAAAAAATTCCCCCTTTTTTCTGTCATCTCTTGTCATGGCTGTCGGCTGATTTAAAACCCAGGGCTCATCACCAGGTAAAATATTCACGTTTCCAATCAAGGTCTGCCAGAGGTTGAATTTGCCTTTTTTACCCATTCCCTGCCACAAGCCCAAAGAGCAAAGGCAATGTCACCATGAGCTGTTTTACAACATGCTCATCATATATCATGCCACGGGGAGAAAAGAGTCATGGTTTTTGTGAACTGCAAAAACTTACACTAAACATGTGGTCACTTGGCAGCTTTTTGGATTGCCTTACTTTTTCTTCCCCAGCTGGGCTTTTCTTCAGAATTGTTTTCCCAAGTGGCAGCTTGTGTTTATTCTACTGGGCTTTTGGAGAACTTAGGAAAAGGAAAAATCAACAAAGTGTAGTCATGCACATGGAAAACCATATGCTTCATAAAACTGCATATGTGCTGTGTTTAAGATGTAAAGGAAGATATGCAAAAACAGCCACCTGCCGACTTCCCAATCCACCTCAATTAAAAACTCAGAAAGCCCTTGTTCATAGGCAGAAACTACAGTGGTGCCTTAAATTTCACAGATTGTTAAACCTGAAAGCTGAAAGAGCTATTCAAGGTTGCAAATTCCAATTCCTACAGGGAGTACACAGGTAACAAATAAGTGGAATGAGCCAGGAGGGATGGTCGGTGTAGAACTGGGAATGAGGGTCTTGCCTTTAGACAATTGTTGCCAAACCAAACACAAAGAAAGCTAGAAATCCACATTATTTTATGAATTTTCCTGAATTTTTCAATGTTATTGAATTATTCAGATTTAGTCTAAAACATTCTATAGACTAAACAATATACAACTCCACTAAGATTTGATCCACGGGTTTCCAGTGTGAGACTTCTGTTCTAGAATAATTTCACTGTTTTTTTTTTTTTTTTTTTTTTTGAGACAGCATCTCACTCTGTCACCCAGGCTGGAGTGCAGCGGCACAATCATGGTTCACTGGAGCCTTGATCTCCAGAGGCGCATCCAGTTCTCCTATCTCAGCCCCCCAAGTAGTTGGGACTACAGGTGTGTGCCACCAGGTCTGGCTAATTTTGTGTGTGTGTGTGTGTAGAGATGGGATCTTGTCAGGCTGGTCTCAAACTCCTGAGCTCAAGTAATCCACCTTCCTCGACCTCCCAAAGTACTAGTATTACAGGCATGAACAACCATGCCCAGCCTCATTCTTAATTAATAATAAAGAAGTTTGAGTAAACAGAGATACTTTCTCAAAGTCACACTGATTGTAAATACCAAAGGTGCCACCAGGGCTCAGCTCTTCTAACTTCCTGGTATTTTCCTCCTAATTCTGGTATTGCACCACCTGCTTTAACTTGCAAGGTTTTATATATAGGTATTCAGAAGGTCAATTTCATTGTGCCTTTGTCCTGATTATTTTTCTTTTGCCCTTCCAGATCCATTCTGCACCCTTCTTGACCTGTGTTTCAGGAGGCTGGCCTATGTAGACTAGGTCAAAGAACTTCTTTGCTTTCTGACTTTTAGCTGAGGCTCACCACCGGGAGCTCCCAACTCGTTCAGAGGGAAGGCAGGAGGAGAGTGAAAATGGTGTGCTTATTCTCCTTGCTTCTTTCCCATTTCTTTCCATTAAGGGCTGCTCCATGGAGCTTATTTCTCTGAGTTTCAGTAACGGCACCGTCTCCTTGCCCCTTCAGACTTGAGGATAGTGAGGGAACAAAAGCTCACGATGTGGGTCTCCGCACTCTCCTCTGTCGCACGTTCGGTAGTAATGGCTCCCTGTTGTTATATTGTTTGTTCCTTGCTGGTTTCCCCAAACTCTGTCCACATGTTTGTAAACAGTCTCTTCATTTCAATCTCTTTGGTTACCCAGTGGAAGTAACCTGGCCACCACTTGCTTTGCCTGAGAGTGTCCCTTAGTACTGAGAATTTTGTCTCCTAAGAAATCCCTCAGTGCTGGGCAAACTAAGTACTATTTATATATTTCTTTTCAATTTTCTGCTTTTTGTATCATACTACTTCTTCTATCTTTAATAATTTAAAGTGCTCTTATTTTATAGTCTCATAAAGATAAGTCTATTATTTTGAATCTTTAAGGTGCTAATCATCCTTTTGAGGCATCTTGTAATTCTTCCTTATGATGGTAAATCTCCGGCTCTGAATCCTTCATTACCTGATTTGTAAAAATGTCCCAACAATGCTGTTTCACAATTGCCCCTATTATATCCTAGGGTTTTCACAGACACAGGCAATCTGTGCTAACTTATCACTGGTATACATTTAGACACCATGCCCATATGTGGCCCAGACCTGGGGTTTTGATTTTTTGGACACAGCTTTTTCTTTTTCTTTTTTTAAACTGGGGTTCTAGATGGGCGGCAAGCTTACTTGCTTCTTTCCTGGACTCAGATGTGCAGTTTTTGTAGTCACCATCCAACAGACAATGCATCGTTTCAAGGCTCATGGCTTTATGCTGAGGCTCAGTTCTATTTTCCCTACCTAGCAAGGGCTTGAGGCCACATTTCCTGTACTCCAGTGGGTGTTAAATACCCAACCTTCAGCTCTTAGGGCTTATATCTGGGTTAGAAAATTTTGCTGAAATACCAACTCTCCATTACTGTCCTGGCTTTGATTTCTCTCTTCAATTCTTGTACCTGGGGATTTTTTTCTTTTATGCCACAGTATTTTTAAAAATTCTATTTCTATTTTTTATTCATCCTTTCTACAAGTTTGCTCTGCCAGATTATCAGAACCAAAGATCACTTTGAAACACTGCAGTTCATGTCCAGTATAAAGTTGAGGTAAACTATGTGGTCCTGTTTCTTTCTGTCTTGCATAGTCACTAACAAAATTCAGCTGACAAATTAAGGTCAAAATAGAGTGAGTCTGAGGGGCCTAGACTTGGATACCTAACAGAGTGTGAGTCACTTCGGATATTAATCTAGCCTCATTTATAGTGATTGGCACCAGGAGGCAAGGTGGAAATGAAATATTCATTGCCCATTCAATATTACCTAATTTGTATGTCTAAGTGTTGACAAAAGAGAAGCCTTTGCTGTCTACTTTATGAGTAATTGTAAATTAATATGCAACCCTGCACCCATTCCAGGGAGAAGAGAATCACTTGGATTTGCCAACTGTTCAACAGTACAGCCTGGTTTTATCCGCAGATGTCACCCATCCCACCTCCCACTGTTGGAAATCAGCTGGAACAGAGAGACTTCCTAAGAGAAGTGCCTTTGGATAACGTCATAGAATCTTGAATCTAAGAATCTTAAATAATCCAGATTAAAAGCAACATTAAAGATTATGTTTTAATTTAATAAATGAGGAAGATGAGGCACAACTTGTATTTCAGGAACAGATATTTCCTCAAATTCTTCCAAGCACTTTTGCAGCACCGCCAAACATCGCCATTTTGCTCCTGCAATTATATTGTTGTTATGAGGATTGCTGATATTTTTGTTTTCACTTGAAAAGTTGTATTGAACAGATCCTTAAATGTTCAATACCTACAAGGATATAGTAGGCAGGACTGAAGTGCTATATCCATCAGCATGACTTACAGCCCAAAGACAGTTGCTTTTTCTACATTTGCTTTACATTGGACCCTGAGGTTTCCTAGGGCTTGGTTAGAAAAGAAATGCTCAAGGGCTTTGACACTTTGCAAATGTCAACTTGAAGTTCCAGACACTTCTCCAAGCATGTAGGCTGTCAGCATAAAAACCAGGGCTCCATAGCACAAAGCAGGCATCTCCACCATTCCCCAGCCTGGGGCCCTCTCTAGGGAGATTCAACTCAAGTTCAAGGCTGGACGTGGAGGCCCTCTCTGAATCTAAGTTCTTTATTTAACAAAAAGGGCAGGGGCCACTGGGAGATGGTCTCAGAGGAATAAGGCTATGTGGGGGTTAACCACAAGGGAAAAGAATTAATGTAATTGGAAAAGAAGAAAACGATCATAATAAAACTAGTATCATCCATGCCCTTCTCATTTATTATCTTATTTTATCATTACCCCAAAAAAGTGGTGAATTAAGTACCAGTATTATCCCATTTTACAGATGAACAAAACAAAGGCACAAGCAGCTCAGTAGTGGTCATACAGCTGGTAAGTGGCAAAACCAGAATTTGATTCAGACATTCCTACTCTAGAGACTCCAGTGTTAAACCACTATGCGCGCTACGTCACAGATTCCGAGGAGCACCACGATTCAAACGCAATGCTTATATGTTCCATTTGCATTTTCTTAAGTCTGCTCCCTTCTTTTATAGTTGTAGGTTTTGTTAACCATAGTCACTAAAATTTTCCCGTATAAAAAAGCAGCAGGGTAAATACTTTACATGAATACATTTTCTTACTTATTCTCGCAACCCTATGAGGCATTATTAACTGCTGAAAAAGCTGACACTGAAGGTTATTAGCCCAAGGTCATACAGGTAGTAAGTGGCAGAGACTAGACTTAAAGCCAAAGCTTCTAATTTCTAAGTCTGAGCTCTCATTACTATGAGAGTGAACCTCAAACTCTATACCCTAGGAATCTTTTAGGAAAGCAAACTCCAGGCCTCTATTCACAAATTCTGAATAACAGGTCTGGGTAAAGCCCTAGAATCTAAATTTTTTTAGAAAAGAAACCTCCCTGGATGACTCTGATGCCAATTGCCTGAGGATTCTGCTTTCCCAAACCCTCCCCACCACAGTTATTATGACTATAATAGGTCAAGCATTACCTGCTCAGCTGTATTTTAGCTGTAACAAAGTACTACTGCTAAAGTTGGAGCAAGATGTCTAATTCCTCTTCTCCTTTATTTGTTGGGACTATCCAAACCCAACAGGTTCTATGCTATTGCTCACTGAATTTGCTCCCGATATTGCAGGTGTCTCTTTCTCCTCTCTCGGCCTGTCACCCTGAGTATCAAGGTGACTGTGTTAGTTAGGACATTTCTGACTGCAAGTGACAAAACTCAATTAAAATCAACTTAAGCAAAAGAGGGAATTTACTGGCTCATTGGACTGAAACATCCAGGGGCAAATCTACCTTCAGGCACCATGTTCAAGGAATTTCTCTCTCTCTCTCTGTCTCACTTTTGTTTTCCTTTACGTTGCCTTCGTTTTCAGGCCCAGGAACTCCTCAAGAGTTTACGGCCACCTGCAGCTTCAAGCTTATATCCATGTAGTTTAGTGCCTCTAAAGAAAAGAGAGAGTCTCATTCTCAATTGTTCTGGCAAAAATCCTGAGGCTGATTTTTATTAGACTGCCTTAAGTTCTCATTCTTGAACCAAATACCTTAGCCAGAGGGTGTAGAACATTCTGATTGGCTGAACATTGGTCAAGTGCCCACTGTGGGTGAGAAGGTCAGCCTTACCATTACCACATGGAATGAAAATGGCAGACAGGTGGTTCTCCAAAGGGGAGAACTGAAAAAAATAGAAAGAAAGGATAACAGGCAGGGAAAACTACCTAAGTCCAGCACATTGGAGCAAGATGTCTAATTCCTGGTGCAGAGATAGACAAGCTACAATGTATTCTCTTACCAGATGATGACCTGGTAGGATATTCCCATACCTAACTGAATTAGGCTGGCTTGGGGACCCTGACACTCCACACTAGCAAAACAAAACAAAACTTGGCCCTTTACAAACATTGTAGAACACATCATAGAATTTTATGGTTGAAAAGGACCTTATCGATCTTCCAGTCCAGCCATTTAATTTTGACATTTTAAAAAATCAACAGAATTAACCATTTTGAGTCAGAAGATTCAATAAACCATTCACTGACCACATAAGCAAAGAGTGAGCATGTTCTTTTGTGGAAGCATCACTAGAAGGTTTTGGAGTCTTGGGTTCTGGTTGCAGGAGGCGGCAAGTCCCTTCAGCAACTTGGTACCTATCTTCCTCCATCTGGAGAGCTATAAGGCTTTTCTCAGTGATGTACTATCAGAGTCAGGACTAGAACCCACGTCCCCAAGCCTAGGACTCTTTCTTTCAACTCTGCAGTTCTTTGTGGGAGGTATCTCCTTTTCTTACCTTGGTTGTATTTTCTTCCCTCTTCACTGTGATTTATGCTTTCCATCCATCAAAAGTTTTCATCGCTCCTTCAGCCAGCCTTTAGTGACTGCCCTCCAAACACCTAATTTTAGTGGGAAAGTAGCAATAGGTGAGACATGGTTGGTGCCCTCAAATTTATAAGATGGGTGTCAAACTTCTTGAAAAATAGCACTTTCCTGCCAGCTCACCCCTTTTTGCCACATTTTCCCTTCAGTCTCAACAGTTCAGAACCCTCCCCAACCTCTCTCATGGCCCCAAATCTCCTCCTCCTCAGGGAGGCTGTGTGGACACAGACTGACTGTTCACTCTTCCACCCCAAGGGCCCTGAATAATCTTTCTTGGAGCTCATTCTGCACCACTGACACCCTCTGTTAAAATTTAATGGCAAGCCTAGTAAAAAGATGATGAGCTTTATTGGCAATTCAAATCAGGTTATTGGGCACCATCTGCCTTTCTTCAAATTAATGGGAAGAAGAAATGGATCCTTTGGGCTTTGTTTATTTTTAGATTATGACAAAGGAACCCAGCAAAATGCCTCTAGACCATGTTAATCCCCACTGTAAATGAGGCCAAAATACCAAGGGGCAGAGGCGGGTGGTAATAAGTGACGGTAAACAGGTTTCCATTCACATGCAAAGATCATGGGAAAAGCAGAGGAAAGTATTCCTGTCTTCCTGCCTTCATCATGTCATTTCCCTTCCTGGTTTTAGATATAGTGAACCCGAAGTTTCTCTTCAAAGAATCTGTATGTAGGTATGTTCAGCTCTCTTATTCTTTAATTCTCTGTTTTAAAGTTTAACTTCCTTGTAGTTCCAGTAAACAACTTCTCCACCAGTTCTAATCAGTAGTTCACATTTGTTCCCCCAGCCCCCAGGCTCCATCCTGATTCATCCCAGTCACCTGCTCTGGTCACCTTCTTTGACCTACGTGACCCCTGGCTACCTGCTCTGACCCACCCATAACCACCCTTCCCACCAAACCACCCACCCTGCCACTCCAGCTCGGACCTCTGCTCTTTTTAAAGTAGCCAATCAGGATTAATTTGTGTGGTCTAACCCTAGCCAATAGGGGAATGACAGAGCAGTAGAGGCAACCGCCATCAGGCATAAGTACCCCTTTCCCTCCCTTGTCCAAATGTGCAGTCACCATTGTTCCATCCATGAGCTGCACCCTTCTATAGAAGTAAACTGCCTTGCTGAGAGGATTTATCTTCAAGTGCTATTTCTTTTGCAGCACTGAAATTTTATTTATAACACTGGACCAACTGGGAAAAAAAGCCAACAGAATTATAACCCCAAGGAGGTAGCTGATTGAGACCGCCTGAGTAACAGAAGGGTGGCAAGAACGTCCTCTCTTCTGAAACACGTATCAAATTCAGGCCAAGCTGGTGGTTATGCCTCACCTTTGATTTCAGTTCTGGAGGCAGATGGAGCTTCAGAGACCTGGAAAATACTAGACAGATCAACTTTGGACTTGACCAAGAAATTCCCTCCACACAGTGCCCCTCCCTCAGGCTGACTTTCTAAAGCTCTTCCCCTCACAGGCACTGGCCCTAGAACACTCCAGTTAAAAAGCAAACAGGTTACCCAGGAGATGAACAAGTAACTCATTAGCAACTGCCACCCCATCAGCACAGGTTCCTGAGCAGATGGCTGCACTGCACTCTGAGGGGAGAGCACTGGGCTGAGAAGGGCGGATAGGCTACAGGGCTGAACATGAGTCTCCTGGGAGAAAAGACAGAAGAAAGGGAAGATTCTGGTAGGAGAGAGAGATGAAGATATGATACCTAGGTTCTAGGGAGCTTGGAGGCAAGGATGGAGTATTGCCCAGAAAAGAGGAGAAGAAAGTAATGGAGAGCTAGAGAAGTCACAGAAAAGGGCAAGGAGATTTCAGATATAATTTTTGCTAAGTGTATCGTCCCAGATTGGAAGGAATACCAGAGCATTTGGTTTTTCCATCTTTGATACAGTCATAGGTATTTCTGTGGTGGGGGGTGGGGGGCGGGGGACAGGGGAAACAGAGGAGGCTATTTATTTTAGTAATCTGTACGTTGATGTATTAATAAATTAAAATGATCTTATTGCTGTAATTTGTTTTGTTTGTTATAAAGTATAAGAACAACCTTTAACAATTTCCAGCAGCAATTATTTCATTTGGGAGTATTTTTCGCAATAGACTTTAGTGCACAATTGTCCACTATTTTACAACCTCCTATTGATGTCCTGTTGGTACCTCATAATTATAAAAGTATTTCATCATTAATATGTCTGGGAAATGCTGAAATCCACACTCTCATTCCTTCTGTTTCAAGTGGTCTTTGTTTGCACACACCCAGCAATGGAGAATGCCATGCCACCAGCAGTGGTAGCTCATTTTGCTGTTGGAAAACTCCGCTGGGTAGAGTAATCTTATGTCAAATCCAGTGGCTCTCAAACTTTAGTGCACATAACTATTAGTGTAGAGTTTGTGAAACCTGCCTTGCTGGGTCTTATCCTCAGAGTTTCTGACTCAGTAGATGGAGGGTACGGGGCCATAGAATTTGCACAGGTGACTTAATCCCATCCATCTCCCTATAATTTCCACTCCCTCTTCCCTGTAATTCCCAGAACAACCCAGCAAATTGAATTCCCTTTCTAATGTGCAGAACTTCAAGCACTTAAGCCCAGCTTCCCATTGCAATATAAGCATCACCAGTGCAGGGATACGGGTCAGTACTGGTTTCCTTGCCTTCTTCCCAGTGACTTAAATGGTGTTGACAACAGTGTGCACGTAATGAAAATCTGTTGAGTGACTGGAACAGAGTAACTGCTGTATAATTGTTGCTTGTTATTATTACTTCTGAGGAATAGAAACCTCACAAGACAGATCTTCCTTCCAGAGGGCTCCAAGCTAAGCTACAAATGCACTCTTACCCCATCTTCTACATTTCTCAACCTCAATAGGGCCGAGAATTAGACAAAGAGTATACTTTTGCTTTGGGTAAGTAATTTCTAGGTTTTTCCATGCACAGACCTGACAGGGTTGATGTTACATTACATCTTTTTAGAGAATGGGCTTACAAAAAGAGTGACACGGTGGATATTTTCACCAAAGAATTATCTTTTTTTTTTTTTTTTAGATGGAGTTTCACTTTTGTTACCCAGGCTGGAGTGCAATGGTGCGATCTTGGCTCACCGTAACCTCCTCCTCCTGGGTTCAGGCAGTTCTCCTGCCTCAGCCTCCTGAGTATCTGGGATTACAGGCACGCGCCTCCATGCCCAGCTAATTTTTTGTATCTTTAGTAGAGACAGGGTTTCACCATGTTGACCAGGATGGTCTCGATCTCTTGACCTCGTGATCCACCCACCTCGGCCTCCCAAAGTGCTGGGATTATAGGCGTGAGCCACTGCACCCGGCCAAAGAATTATCTTACCGAGTGGAAGGAAATAATAGAATAATGAAACTTGGCAATTGGATGGGAAATGGAAGAGTAAAACCAGTCTCCTGTAGTGGATGTGCTCCAGACCCCCTGGTAGTAATTTACCCTCAAATTAAAACCCCATAAGTGGAAAAGAGTACAAAAATGGGCATGCCAAGGGCCTGGTGTGAGAGTGGTAGGTTCTTACTCCTGGCTTTTCCAAGAGAATGGTGTCCCACCATTGGTGTGGTGTCCCTCCATTGGCGATGAAGCTGTTTTGCACCTGTAGCTGGCCACCTTGCTTCCCCAAATGCCTGCAGGGCAAATGGCTTCAGTTTAAGGGAGAAGAAATAAAAAGCCTTTGAAATGAATCATCCTAAAAGCAACTCATTTTTTGTTTTAGGGCATAAGTCGGGTATTTGAGGGCTGACTGGAAAACTTCCTTTTCAGAGTCCTTCCTGATCTCAGGAACAAGTTTTTCCAAAGCCATCCCATGCAATTGTCTCAGCAAAGAGACAAAACCAGAAGACACTATTTCTATAATTACAACTAATTACAATCTCATGATTCCATTTAATCTCCACATAAGAAGTTCACCAATTGAAGAACAGCATTGATCCTCTGTGCCTGAGCCAATTAGATATTTTGGTCCAATCTGAATGGTTACCCAGCCTTGGCCAGGATGAATTTGTGTTTAGAATTTTATTTTTCTAGCCTCTGAGCCATCCCAGATTTTAAAGGGACACTGGAAATCATCCATTTGTGCATGTCTGCTCCAGCAAGATCTGCATACTTCAAAAATCATTAAGAAGTTAATACTGAAACCCATTTCACCTTTCTCCCCAGTAACAAGATTTTTTTTAACATTGAAGTGTTTAGATTTCCCCAAGAAAAAATTAAAATTATTTCTTAATACCTTGGAATTTTGATCCAGATAGTCTAGGAGAAAATAGATTACAAGTGACATCTCAATTTCAGGCACCTCATTAGTCAGGGACTTGATTTCCGATGATTGCTCTGCTAATCGACTCGCAAGCTGACTGCTGCTCTCTGGGGAAAGAACTCCGTGAATCCTGCTTCTAGGCCTCCAGGGGTTTGAGACTCTTGCCTTTCACCGTCTGAGGGTCCCTGGGCCTCCAGAGAAATCACAGAGGCAGCGGTGTCTCTGTCATTTACCTACCCTGAAATCCGAGGCAGGTTATTTATCCTCTCTGACCCTCCTCTTCCTTGGAGTATAGAAAAAAGAAAATGCTGCTGGCCGGAAAATTTGCTCTAAGTATGAGAGCATGTATTACTCTAGGGGCCACACACAGTCACTGCCCAAACAAAATCACTTATTTGTTTCTTCAACAAAGAGTTAAGCACAAGAGTGGACATGCAATATCCAGGCCTTGTTTTCCCGTCAGTTATAATCTGATGAGGAAAACAGATATGAATCAAATAATCCCCCAAATTATTTACAAACAGAGATAAGTGCAATAAAGGGAAAGAATCCAATTTTGTGAGAACTTACAGCAGAACAACTGCTAGCTCGGTGGAGAAGAAAGAAAGACTGAGGTCAGGGGAGAGGGGAGGAAAGACGGAGGACGCAACATTGGAACTGAGTTCTGAAAGGTAAGAGTGCGGGGAGGAATCCACATTGTAGTCACTGAGGGGGCAGGATCAGGAAAGAGGTTGTTGGAGAGAGCAAGGGGCAGCACGGCAGAAATGGGGCTGGATTAATCACCAGCAATTTTACATAAGTTATTGGCAGGCTTTATCCCTCATAGGCATACAGTGAAGTCCTTGATTAAATGACAAAAATTTCCCAGTATATCTTAAGAAAAAACTTTTAATCTTGCTATGAAATAAGACTTGACAGAAATACTTCCTGATCAGGTTACTGATTTCTCTGAAAAATGCTTAATTTATGTGAAAGGAGAAAAAAAGGAAAATTATATAATTTCATATAGCTATATAATTATATATAGTAGATAGGTAGAAAATGAATAAATAAATTCATTATAATTTGTAATAAGGAGACGGATTTGGAATTGGCAAATGATCTGAGATACGGGCTCAACCCTGATCACTACTAACTATATTACCTTAAGCAAATGTGTTATCATTTACTCAGAATTTTCTCTGTGACAGGCATTGTGCTAAGTGGTTACACAACACATATCATTGAATTTTTGCAGCCGGCCAGTGAGCTACCCAAAGTCCTCCTTATCATCATCATTATTATCAACTCTACTTCACAGAAGATTCAGAGGCTTTGAAAAATTAAGTGGCATGCCTACTTTCACATGTGTGATACATAAAAATCTTGGCATATGAATCCCAGCCACTGGTTCCAGAATCTGCATTTTAAAATCAGAGCATCGTTTCCTCTGTCCAGCCAGAAAGTGGTTCTGAAGATGAAACAGTCACAGAAGACCTTTGTGAAACCCTCAAGGCCTCACCAGTGGCAGAGGCCGCCAGGATAAACAGCTCTGCCTGCTTGCCTTGAGACCAGACCCTTTCAGGTTCACTCTAACTTGATTCCAACTATCCAATCTGGGTCGTCAGAAGGAATTTCCTTAGTAGGGTGCTTCACCTGCCCAGGGGCCCATGCCTCCACCGTAATTGCCAGTAAAGTACCACATGCATGTGCATGTGCACATGTGCACTTTTTTTTGAGGTTGGTTACCCAAAATGTTTATTAGCTTCTGGGAAGTGGAATCTTCTCCCCAAATTCTGAATCAACAGCATTTACTCAAAACAATAAGGGACTGAGAAGTTCAGGAGAGAGTGTTAATTCAGTCTGGTCTCAAACAGGAGATACTTGCTCACTAAACACTTTAGGTGGGTGCATGATGTGTCAGTCCAGAGGTCTAGCCATGGCTGGAATCCTTTAAGAATTATTTCCAGTTTACTCGAAACAAAACAAAATGAAAAACAACTTACTTACTCCTTTGTATATTTAGGAATTCAATAACTTACAGAAAAAAAATCTTAAACACATTAAAATCTGAACAATCTGTATCCTTCAAGTTCTGTACAGACTTCACCAATGTATACTGAAAATGCTTTAGCGCCTACCTTTCCCTTGACACTGGTTTTCACCAATGGTATTTCACATAAATGTTTTCATGCATTGGCATGGCCCAGGTTCTTGTTATTTTAATAACCTGATAGTATTTCATTCTGTTAACATTTCTTGAATGCATTTAAGTTAAAAAAGAAACTCTATTTTTGATCTTTGACTCCTTGATTTTTGCTTTAACATTTTAAAAAACTGATATGAAAAATGCTAACAATGCATGACTTAAGGGTTTCAGAGGACAGGCTTTGGAATCCAACAGACGGATATTTGAATACCATTTCTACCTCTTACAAGTTATTTGACCTTGAGCAAATCACTCAGGCTGTCTGAGCCCTAGTTTCCTCATTGTAAAACAGGGATAATAGCAATAACTTCCTCTTCAAATTGTTGCAAGATTAAGCAATGTAATATGCTTAAAGTGCTTTGCAGAGTGCGTGGTACATGCTAAAAGCTTGGTAAATGATGGTTCTTGGCATAATAGACAGGAAATACAGAGTTGTACCCACCTAAGGCATTTTCTTTAAAAGG